CAGCATTATTGAATGATTACCGTTTTGGTGGGTTTTGACTTTCTGGTGATTAATGTTCTCCTTTTATAGTGAAGAGGCTTTTTGTTATTTGGATCCCAGTTTCTTATACTACCTTTCATCTGTATTGCAGTGTCAAGGTTCTTGAGAGGATTCAGACATGGCGGAACGCTTGCTTACGCGTGTCCAGAGCATCCGTGAGCGTTTGGATGAGACCCTCTTGGCTCATCGTAACGACATCTTGGCTTTCCTCACCAGGTTATCAATTCTGGTCCTTATAGTGACTGCCTGCATTGGGCATCACATCTTAGTGATTGCGCAATTCTCTAAATGAAACTGGCATTTTATATTCTGCTACTTTACAAAACAAACAATCAGTACATAAAATAATTAGACAGGAAGAACCAAAGATGCTATAGATTTAAATTTCTGATAGTATACAGGTTCTTTTACTCTGTAGGATCGAAGCCAAAGGAAAGGGTATCTTGCAGCATCATCAACTTATTGCTGAGTTCGAGGCGATCCCCGAGGAACATAGGAAAAAGCTCGGTGAAGGAGCATTTGGAGAAATCTTGAGATCCAGTCAGGTAATAGCTCTTCTAATATGCATTATTGTGCATTAAAAAAAAAATTTACAGTTTGATTTCTCTATTATTGTTCTATCGATATGCTTTTGTCATTTAGGAAGCAATAGTCTTGCCTCCATGGATTGCCCTTGCTGTTCGTCCCAGGCCCGGTGTGTGGGAGTACATTAGGGTAAATATCCATGCCCTTGTTGTTGAGGAGTTGCAAGTGACCGAGTTTCTTCACTTCAAGGAGGAACTTGTCGATGGAAAGTAAGTCTTTCTTTTTCTTTTTTGGCTTTTAGTAGCATACTTTGCTTTTGGCCAAAGGACTGTAGGTTAAATGAATTTGTGAATTGTTGGCTGTCATGGTATTACATCATGAGACCTATAATATGCAAATGAACGCCGCTTACTCTGTTGCAGTTTGAATGGAAACTTTGTGCTTGAATTGGACTTTGAGCCATTCACCGCCCAATTTCCTCGCCCAACTCTTTCAAAGTCCATTGGTAATGGGGTGGAGTTCCTCAATCGTCACCTTTCGGCCAAGCTCTTCCATGACAAGGAGAGCTTGCACCCTCTGCTTGAGTTCCTCCAAGTTCATTGCTACAAGGGAAAGGTAAGCCCATGGGTTGATAACACTCATCTCACTCTCTCGGATCTACTTCTTATGCGCCGCGTGTATCACTTACTTATATTGACAAGATTGTGTAAATGACAACTCAAAGGAAACATTGCGACATTCACATAACTTCATGACAGTTGAAAGGACAATTCAGAGTTGCTCATATATTAGATGCATGGACTGAATCCCTTTTTTTTTTTCGTAAACAATTACTCGTGGCTCATTTATTTTGATCTGCGAACAGAACATGATGGTGAACACGAGAATTCAAAATGTCTTCTCCCTCCAACATGTCCTGAGGAAGGCAGAGGAGTACCTCTCCGCACTCAAACCCAAGACGCCTTACTCTCAGTTCGAGCACAAGTTTCAGGAAATCGGGCTGGAGAGGGGCTGGGGCGACACCGCCGAGCGTGTGCTCGAAATGATTCAGCTTCTGCTGGATCTACTCGAGGCTCCCGATCCGTGCACCCTCGAGAATTTCTTGGGAAGAATCCCCATGGTCTTTAACGTCGTTATCATGTCGCCTCATGGTTACTTTGCCCAAGACGATGTCCTCGGATATCCCGATACCGGTGGCCAGGTCATTTGTTGTCTCAAATCTTGATTTAGCGTTCTTGCCAGTATTTCTACATGCATTTTCATCATCATGCGTTGTACTCAATTTGTAGGTTGTGTACATCTTGGACCAAGTTCGTGCATTGGAGAGTGAGATGCTTCACCGTATCAAACAACAAGGGCTGGATATTACTCCTCGGATCCTCATCGTAGGTTCTTGCTCTTTAACTGATAGTGGAATAGTTTTGCTGGTCACTGCAACTAACTCGTTATGTTTGTTTTGTGTCCTGCCCTTATGGCTGCAGGTCACTCGTCTTCTTCCTGATGCTGTAGGAACCACGTGCAACCAGCGTCTTGAAAAGGTTTTCGGAACAGAATACTCCCACATTCTTCGAGTTCCCTTTAGAACGGAGAAAGGGATGGTCCGCAAGTGGATTTCACGATTCGAAGTGTGGCCTTACTTGGAAACTTACACCGAGGTATATTAGCTCATAAGATACTGCTCTGCGACCAATCTTTCGTAATATGAAGACTAACCTTATCTTCTGTCATCAGGATGTCGCCAATGAAATTGCTGGAGAACTACAAGGGAAGCCCGATTTGATCATTGGCAATTACAGTGATGGCAACATTGTTGCTTCTTTGCTGGCCCATAAGTTGGGCGTTACGCAGGTTCGTCCCTTCCTAGTTTTACTCTCTATAGTGGCAATATGATTTAATCAAAGAACCGAATGCTAAATATTAGTTTCTTCTGATTTATTATGCAGTGCACAATAGCTCACGCCCTTGAGAAGACGAAATACCCGGAATCTGACATCTACTGGAAAAAGTTGGAGGAAAAATATCATTTCTCTTGCCAGTTTACGGCAGATCTCATAGCCATGAACCACACCGATTTTATAATCACCAGCACCTTCCAGGAGATCGCTGGAAGGTAACTGATCTTTCTTTCGGATGTGGATTCACGCCGAAAGGCTCCTCCATCCTTCGCAATGTGCTAAACTGCTCGTATAATTTACATGTTTTCAGCAAGGACACGGTCGGGCAATATGAGAGTCACACCGCTTTTACGCTTCCTGGACTGTACCGAGTCGTCCATGGCATTGATGTTTTCGATCCCAAGTTCAACATCGTGTCACCAGGGGCCGATATGAGCATTTATTTTGCATACACGGAGGAGAAGCGGAGGTTGAAATCTTTCCATCCCGAGATTGAAGAACTTCTTTTCAGCGATGTGGAGAACAAGGAACACCTGTGAGTTTGTTTCCCTATTTTAGCATCCTGTGTTTTGAATGATAACGTTCAAGCTCAAACAGAAACTGACAGGGATGTGTTGGTCATTGTCAAAACAGATGCGTATTGAAGGACCGGAACAAGCCAATCTTGTTCACCATGGCAAGACTGGATCGTGTCAAGAACTTGACTGGGCTGGTCGAGTGGTACGGAAAGAACACCCGCCTGAGAGAGCAGGTCAACTTGGTTGTGGTCGGTGGCGACCGGAGGAAGGAATCTAAGGACTTGGAAGAGCAAGCTGAGATGAAGAAGATGTACGATCTGATCGAGAAGTACAATTTGAATGGCCAGTTCAGGTGGATCTCCTCCCAGATGAACCGGGTGAGGAACGGGGAGCTCTACCGCTACATCTGCGACACCAAGGGAGTGTTCGTGCAGCCCGCCCTCTACGAGGCTTTCGGACTGACTGTGGTGGAGGCCATGACATGTGGATTGCCGACATTTGCAACTTGCAACGGCGGTCCTGCCGAGATCATCGTGCACGGCAAGTCCGGATTCCACATCGATCCTTATCACGGGGATCAGGCAGCCGAGATCCTCGTGGACTTCTTTGAGAAGTGCAAGGCGGACCCAAGCCATTGGGACAAGATCTCGCTGGGCGCGATGCAGAGAATCAAGGAAAAGTAAGGCCGGCGATTCTTGTTAGATTCACTCTTCGATAGGAAAAAAAGAGAACATTTCAAACTTCTTGTTCATGGAACAAGTGGGTAACATGCGGTTGCTTTGCTTTCTGGCAGGTATACATGGCAAATTTACTCCGAGAGGCTGCTCAACTTGACGGCGGTGTACGGCTTCTGGAAGCACGTCTCGAACCTCGACCGTCTCGAGAGCCGCCGCTACCTCGAGATGTTCTATGCCCTCAAGTATCGGAAATTGGTAAGTGACTCGGCTTTTCATCAAAACACGAGCATGGCGATCCGCACGCATATTTCTGACTCCTAGTTTCGACAATTCACACTGCTATGCTCCTTGTCTTGACAGGCCGAGGCAGTTCCCCTTGCCAAGGAGTGAGCTAAAAAGATGAATGAAGGGGCAGATCTCAAGAGGGAAGCTCGAAAATCTCTCGAGAGTTTGAGGAATAATTGCCATTGGCATTGGATTGGAAGAGAGCCTTTTCTTTTTGCTTTTCTTTTTCAACTGCTTTCGTTGATCTTGTTCTTTTCCTTACTTTTTTTCTGTGAATGTAATGTTGGGTTAGGTTCTTCAGACGGTCGATTCAATAAAATTTTCCTTTTTCGTTTCCCTAGTGTTGTCCCCTCAATTTACCTGTCGGTCTTCCAACTTGAAAGTTCATGTTCAACCGATTTTCCTTCGCTTTTAAGCTTGGCAATGTGGATCCAAATGTCTCGTTTACTCGGAGCACCGTAATATTGCAAATGAGCTTTGGGAGCTCCGTTTGATTTTTGCTCTAACTTTGGGCACTTGGGCCGTCAAGAGATACTTTAAAAAGTAGCATGCAAATAATTTTTTTTTCTAACTTTGCTTTTGCTCAACTTTCCTAATTTCGAAAATGTTCTCAAAAATCCTAATTTGCCAGCAAAGGTCTCAACTGCTGGCGAGCGACAGCCGCACGGGGTCTGGCAAACCTTAGGCGACGCTTGGGTCCTGAGATCGGTCGCCTAAGGGTCCTGAGAACGCAATCTCAGGGGAGGCTGGCCGACGGCTAAATCTAGCCAATCAAATTTTGCTGATAAATAGTTTGAGATTTTTTTTTAAAAAAAAATTAGAAAAGTCCTTTACAACCAAATAACATTTAGATCAAATTTGCTTCCTAATGTATTTTTCAAATACACTTTACAAAATACTACTTGCATTTTGAAAAATACCTTTAATTTAAAAGCCTTTGCATTTTTCCAAAGACATTCCTCCAAAACCAAACCAAGCGGACCCTTGAGTTCATTGAATAGATGGGCATAGACGATCCAAAAAGTAATACAGAGACTAAAATAAGAAGTGCAAAATAAGTCTTCAACAGAATCAGAAGGAAAACTTGTACATCGGACTTGACTGTTTGGTCCAGTCAGCTGTACACATCCGTTGTATAGAGAGGACAATCAATACAAAAAGAACAGGACGTGGAGAGAGCTCATACTGTACAGTTTCATGTTATTCCGGTATTTATACACGCATCGACACAACACACTCTGTCAAAATTGCTTTCTACTTCTGTTCTGACGCATTCTATTTCAATCTATCTAAACCTTCACGAGTAAAAGAAAAAAGAAAAAACCGGCCGAGGCTAATAGCGAAACTCCCATAATTATCAACGCGTCTAACCCAGAATGCAAAGTTTTATTATGCCCTCCATATTTTGTGCATCAATCCACTAGTCATGTAGTTCCCGTATAGCTCTTGTAAGTTTCTTTTTCATGATGGCTTCTCTTGGATAGAGCATGAGTGCCAACACCAAAGAGAACGTAAGGCCAACTATCCCGCTAAATGGTTGGAAAGGAGTCCCCGTTATCCAAAGAGGGAAGTTGGGGTTGTGGATCAAAAAGCCACCTGATTGGATAGTGTAACTCAAGACTAACATCCCTGCTCGGAGCCCAATCGGAATGGCGAGGCAACCTTCACCGATATGCCGAAGCCCAGCCAAGCTTAGTGATAAGAGCCATAGCCCCGGTATCGCCCATGGAGACCTGAAATTCGGCGGGTAAGTCAAATACCTTAATTTTGACTCGGGGGGAGGATCAGGGTCAGAAGCAAATTGATCGAGTGCATGACAAAAACAGGAACCAGGTTCAAAGTAAATGCATTAACCTAAAAGCTAAAGGATGAAACAGTTGAGGCATGCATAAAGATCAAGCTAAGAAGAAAGGACGTTGTCCTCGTTGTAGCTGGTAAAGAAGGTGACACGACACTAACAGATCTAAGCCTTTCCAGAAGGCAAGTTTGGCAAGTCATAAGTTTGCCTTCATCATCAGAATGTTTATTACGAAAACTTCTCTCAGTAAAAAACAAAAAAATTGCCACTTGTTTAATCCAGAACCAAGATTTCAGTAAGGACAGGTTAGCAGTGTTGCATGATACTTCAAAATATAGAAAGGGTGGTCACCAAGTTACTATTGGACTTCCAGGAGTACTGATTTACTTGTCATATATTGAGTAACATGTTTTTCCTGGCCCCAGTAGACATTCCGCAACAAATGAAGAACAGAAAATTGATGGAGAAAATCCAGAAAAAGGAGTTAAGAAGTTGGAAGGAACATGACTTAAATTTAGCAATGCACCTCTGGAACAGGGAGAATGCAAGCCCTGAAAAAATAATTCCCTGATGATATCCAAGATCAGCAGCAATTTCTTGAGTTAACCATGATCTGAAAAGCAACTCTTCCACAAGGGCAACAGAAGTTGCTGTAACAGCACCTCGACCGACCAAGATGAGCATTTGCCCATAAGACTTGAGCCTTGTCATGGCATCTAAAGACGATGAATGAAGACTTGGAGGCCAAGAAAAACTCACGCAGCCTAATAACGAATTAACATACTGTATGGACAAAACAAGCAAAATTCCCCCAACCAAACCCCTCAAAACAGCTTGGATCTGCAAACGAAAAGCTGAAATGAGATCATGAAGAAGAAATCCCACGGAAAGATCTCATGCATGGCAACTATGATGAGTAAAAGCCAGTGCAGCACCACATAAGAATTTTAAAAAGAGAACGAACTGCAATGAATTTTACGTCAGCAGCAAAGGCAAATAAAACGAAACCAAACAGCTGGACTTGTTTGAACCATATTATTCAAGCTCGTGATGTTCAATTTGCTGCATTAGCTTTTCAAATGGAGCTTGAGTCTACTAAAATTCGCTTTGAATGGTATGCAAGCCAAATCTAGCATTTAGCGACTGCTATAATATGTCTAATGGTTTTTATTACTGCATTTACACTTTTGACTTATTACAGCATTTACACCTCTCTCTCTCTCTCTCTCTCTCGCGTGCGTTATTTTTCAGATTTGGTTCTCTCGCTAACATCTTTTCAGCGTAGTTTTTGTTCTTGTTCATTCCCCTTTTAAAAGCATCTGTTTTTAAAGTTTGTATCTAGTAAACATCTGGTATTGTCTGTAGATTTACAATGAAATGCTTTGCTAGTTCGTTCTCCACAAAAAGCAACATAACAGACGCCTCTCCAACAAAAAAACAAAAGAAGCTAATAGAGAACTTCTCACATTGTACTAAGCATTTGCTAGACCAGAATCGTAAGATGTTTAGTCACTTAGTCAAATCAATGGCATGTTATTTTCAATATCATTTGATCATTTTGATTTTATAGATTTCTCGAAAATTTTTCGTTGAGCATTTTACTGACAGATGGACTCATGTCTCCATCAAACTCAATTTGACTGCATGCAAGAAACATTTTGCAAGAACATCAACATAAACCTATGAAATGGTCCTGAAATTTTAATTAGATGCGGAAGTAATGTTTTGGTCAAAATTTTTGCATAGGTGTGAAATACAACGTGGCTTTGTTGAAAAATCTCGAAGTTCATAATATTACCAGATAACTTTTTTAAATGTTGCTCTCATAAATATCCACGATCAGTAAGTTCCGCAAAGATTTCCAGCTTATATATGGGAACACCAGATATACTACTACCAATCACTTCTGGTACTATTCTGAAAGTTGATAAATTGAATAAGTAGATTACTGGATGTCAATGCCTGTTCAGTATATTCGCCTACAAAGTACAATGCGTGTGTAGCAAGAGCCCTCTCCCCCACACATAGAGAAAATCTGAACCACGATCCCACATGCATCAACAGAGACAGAGATGCGGGCGTGGGACAAAGGTATGTGACATGCAATACACAGATAAATATTTGTCAAACATATGAATCCATACCTTCTGCATCGACATCAAATCCAGCCCATATTGCTTAAGGGGATATTCATACCCACGGATCCTCTTGCCCCATAACATAACAAGTATCGTAACAGCAATGTAAAGACCAAAAATGCAAGCAAAATCAGCAATTCCGGAGGAGCTATGCGACATCCAGCTCTGCACAAGTTTTGGAAATAGTGGAACAACAACAGGCGACCAGAGAACAAGAACCATGGCAACGAAACCCACAATCCTAAGAAAATCCCAGCAGAAAATTGCTCAGAATATATAGCAAATTGCAGAATAGACTTGGGAATCCATTCAAACTACAGAAACTAGAAAAAGTAATACGAAGAACGTGTGTTTTCGAAAGAGTTCTAAGACATCACATGTCATGTGCAATATCTGTTCCAGGGCAGGGAAGATTATCTTTGATTCCTTAAAATTTGTTACCTTAACGTCAAAAAATATAGACCTCTTACTTGAAAAAACTATCTGGAGCTGTTCAAGATAAGAAACAATGTGAGGATGTGACTAAGTTTTATGGATTATTTTGCCTGTCAGACAACAAATCAGTTTGTATTAATAAGGAAACACTGCTACACCCAACCTTAATTTCAACTGGAGAAGAACCCACGTTTTGCCGCGAATATAGCTTTTCGTTTACGAAAAAAAATATCTTTTTGAAGAATAAAATATCCAACACGAGAATAAACAATTATAAAATAGTAGAACGTTTCTTTTTCTCTTTTTTGGAGTAAACAATTTTGACATAGTTCCCGGTAGTTTTGATATTTTTTATAGACAATAATTTCACAACAATTTGCAAGATTTATAAGCAACACCATATTATTTGCTTGACAATTAAATCTGAGAAATAGAGAGAGAAATTGGTATAGAATACATGGCGAAATTGGTATAGAATACATGGCCCAGGGAGTAATAGATATTCCACATCAAAATAGAAGAATTTATTATTTGCGTTGTGATCTCTAGTTACCTCTGAAATAGTGGTCTTTCTGCTATGCGCAGCAATGATATGAGTTTATCAGTCAAACTCATAGCACCACGTAAGCCACCCCAAAGCAAGGCAATTTTACCAACCAGCTTCAGCATTCCACCCCTCTGACCCAAATCCGCCAGCATAGCTACCAGCCTGGAATCACAACCAGAAACATTTATATAGCTAAAGAAAAGACAACAATGCTTACACATTAATTAATGACTAAGAAGCAAGATAAAGGTTAAATATAATCACAAAACACCTTTCTTGATCAACTTCACCATCTTCTTTTGTAGGAACTACAGGACCAGCCACAGACATGGCTTTTTCCGCAAGGCTTGTGACTATGTTATTCTCGTCTTTTCCTGATGATGCATCATCAAGTTTGTCAAGTTCCTTTTTCTGAGCTCCTTCATCTCCAATGCTGTCGCCATTGTCTAATTTCTGCACCACCAAAAAGCATCATCCTTACATAACAAAATAACACAAAATATCTCATATTACCACTTCCAACATTATGAGATACTTAAGAAATTACTCTCGTTTCAATCCTGTTATTTGTCACAGTGAACAATGAAAACATGGAATGGTAGACAGACGTGCTGTCTAATTAAAGAGAACGATTTAGAAAAAAAAAAATTAGAAGTGATACGTGCCATCAAATAGGACCAATAGGAGATCTACAGCCAAAAAAGTGCGGTAAGCAGCAGTAGTACAACCAGATTGATAGACAGAGTAAGGATTAATGCTGCCAATTCTGGAAAAAATTGGACCATATTAAAGCGTCATAAGCAACAGGAAGGATTAAAATAGATTAACACACCACCTATATTCACAGGTGTTACTTGAAGGCCAGACCAAATTTCTAAAAGCAAACCAACGCATTGATAATTCTATGAGCATGTGTTTCATCCAGAACATGAAAAAAATAACTATTAACAAAGAACTATCTAAAGAATTAAGGATCACCTGTTGTTGCACCAACAAAGCAGATGTTCCCAGAGCAGCAGCAGCAGCAACCATGCCGGCCATAGCTTTGCCATTGTTTCCATTCTTCCCATCATTATTTCTCTCTTCTGTGCATGGTGAAGGACTCGTAGTATCTTGATCAGATTGCTTAATGGATGATTCGTCAATTCGAGAATCGCTGGGCTCGCTACTATTGCTCCCTGCAAAATTTTGTGATTGAATTACATCTTTTTCATCAAAATAACCACGAGTAACATCCCCAAATTTTTGAGCTTGACTAAGGTCAGTGTCCATTTCAACGTTATCCTGTGTTGTTGCCACATCAAAAGACTTTCTTAAAGCTGCCAGGCAAGAGCCTATGATAACACCAACTGGAAGTACTCTTCTCAAATAATTTGTTTCCTGGACGGCTGATGATATTGCAGTAATTATATGCTCTCCTTGAAGGATGCCCAACTTCTGTGAACCTTGACCAGTGCTATATTTTTTTGTATCGAAGTCTAAAGTGTGCTCCTTGTCATGGTCAACAACTAGACACACAGCATTAGCAACATGATCAAAATCTCTGGCAAGACTAGATTCCAATTCCTCCATATCTTCTAAATTGCGCTTGCGATCAACTTCAACCTTCAAACAATCAAGGATAATCTTTCTAACAAAATGCAATAGCTCAGTTGATCTACTATCATCAGTACCAGCCTTCTTATCCATCCTATCAATCATTTCGTATTCTTGAATTGGATTCTGTAACTTTTCAGTGTCGACTATCGTGTAGGAGGGTTCGATTGTTCCCTTTTCTTCTCCTGAATAAAGGAGTTCGCTGTCCCTATCAAGATCTCTCTTCTTAGTGAGTAAAACAGTATAATCTCCATTGCTTCCTGGTTGTTCCAAGAGCTTCCATCGCCCTTCTTCTGGGATATAGTCAAGTAATAGGGTCGTAGTTGCATCCTTATCAAGTGACTTAGTTGGGTACTTAGAAAGAAGATAGCTGTGAAAATATGCATCACGAAGAAAATCTCTGTATGCATTAGCTCTTATGTACAAGGGGATATTATTTACACGTCTAAGCCCATCAGGGCTACTATCTACAAGTTTTCTGTTGATTAATTGACCTTGACCCTTTTTTCCAATTTTATGCTTATCGATGTTATTAGATATATCCTCTCCTTCAGAAAACCGGTTACCATCTACAAAAACTTGAGCTGGCTTCTCAGCCTCAAATTCATCTTTTCCATTATTTTGTCCATCTGTAATCTTCTCTTTGCGATTGTATGCATCTACATTTTGCTCTTCAGTTGCCTTCTCATGGACTTGATCATGTTTCGGGGACAAAGAATCGAGTTCACCATCCCCGGCCTTGTCGTTCTCTTCATTTTCCCGATCTGAACTTTCTTCGAACTGAGTAATCATTTCCTCCAAAACACCAAAAACGCTGTTGACAGCCACTTGGGTGGAATCATCCATCCCTGTTAAAGCATCTAATGCTTCTGAAACTGAGAAAGTGGGGGAAATGGAATCGGTGATGCTGGACTTATTCTGTTCCAAAACAGGCTGCGAGCTCTTATTTTCTCTTCTCTGAGGATCACTATCACCATTTTCCACTTGTTGCATCTCAGAAGTGGATCCAGAGGGTGATTGAAATTCTTCCGCCTCATTCGCTGATGTCATCCTTCTTGGTTCAGCTAAAGAGTCCCCACTTTTCTCTTCATTCTTCTGGCTGTTAAACTCCTCATTTGTTGCCAAATCAGCAACCTTATTCTTGTCATCTATTTTAGGATTGTCAGATGGTTCTTTCTCAGGCCCATCCGCCCCTTCAGGTCTAACAGGTTTTACTTTGGAAGATTCAGCAGTATCATGATTATCACCTAAGTCACTGGCATCTTTCTGGATACCATCTTCGTTAAAGCTTGCTGATTTATCTATAGAGTGATGCTCCGCTTCTAAGGTAGCAGGCTTTTCTTTTTCCAGCTGATTGTCATCAGAAGCATTTCGCGAGCCCAAGTTATCACTTTTCTGCATCTGATCTGAAGAATAGGTATGCTTATGTAGACCATCTTTAATTGAGATTCCGGTCTCATTTTCTCGAATCTCGGACTTCAAGCCAGATGAAAAACTGGGAATGCTACCAATGTCAAGGATCCCATGCAGTTTCAAGTTAGAACCTTGAGTATGCAAAATTCCAGATACAGCAGTTGTGAGCTTTTCCCGAACATCTTCTGGCACGGCATCCTGCAAAGCGTTCACAAGAGTCTCCCCCTGACTGACAGCAGTAAGGACCTAGACATTTAAGATCGAAGGATGAATCGACAGAGAAGTAATTATGTGAACAGTTAAGGCAACTCCTAGTAAATAACTGCAGATGAAAACAATTATTAGATCAGAATTTCAGCATTTCCTGGTACAAAATGACCAGTTCAACTTGTAACACACATTAATCAGTTTAAAAATTTAAACTTGAAGGAAAACTGAAAGATCCTATTGTCATTTAGCATAATGCAAACCACAAATCAGCACTAAAATAGCAAGACTACTGAGGCTTTTCAAATGTTACAAATCAAGAAAGCTAAATCCATCACCCTAAAAAAATCAAAAGACTTTCCATCTCCACATTCATTAAGAGGCATACTTAAATTTCACGAATCTACATGCTTGGAGACTTGATGGGCAAACATCATGTCCATTTAAATAATCGCTCCATGCTTATTATCATCTGGAGCTAAACCACAAGTCTTCCAGATAATTACATAGTTTCAGATCCACAATTATTAATTAAAGATAACTAACATACTCTTAAACATTACCTTATTCTTCTTATCTTCTGTCAGGGTACCAGGCATAGCAGCATCAAGCATATTCATAACAACTTGTGCTGACTGTAGCACCTGTCCTCTTTCCATAACTGTTGAAGAATCTTCCTCCTTGACCAGCTCTTCATCAAGAGAGCTGCTCTGCGGCATAGCACCATCTAACTCTCTTCTGGGGCTCTGCCTAGATCGGAAATTGCCAGCGGCAGCGTCACCATCTTCAAGCATCTTATCTCTAGGATCAGTTGTATATCCATTTGAACCATTTATCCCGGTAAATTCTAAGAACTTACTAACCCTGTCACCCTTGTTGGATGTTTTCCCTTCCACAACAGGTAAGCCTTTTGCAGGGTTTATTGTCACATCTATATCTGTCAAGAGAGGATGACGACCCTTCAGAAGCCCGAGTTCCACTGCTGCAAGCCACTGCATGAAACATGCGGGAAATTTTGACTTGAGCAATCACATGCTCAAACTTATCTAAAAAAATTTGGAATGCCGTAACTTACAAGTAAAGAAGAAAAGAATGAGACTTTTGAACAAGTAATGTGCCAAGAAAAGTTCTAATCATGGCATACCAGAGACTACAACCAGCATATTAAGAGTATGATCTGCACAGTAGCATGTTGGAATTGATCTAGCATTCAATTTTCAGTTGCTCCGCAGAAGAAAGTGTTGAACAAATAATGTAGAGAAGATTAACGACAAGACATTCAAATTCAAAACACATGGGCAAAAACTAGGGTGATCGCTGATCTTACTATTATTGAATAACTAAGTAAGTGCACTAATTTCATTCCTATTTATAAATTGATACTAGACCAAACTAGCGAAGTGGATCCCAAGTCTATATCAGGGCATATACAGATCTTGCCTTTACAAAGAGAGGTTGATCCATGTCCGGACACTCTATCTCATCTGTGATCACATTATGAGCCGGAATTTTGAGTAAATATTCCTTTTTGCACAATCAAGACCCACCTACATACGTATTCCGATGGAACCAGATAACCTAACTTAATCCATGGAAGAAACCTGGGACGCTGCCACTATGCTTGAGTTGGTGTCCAATTCAGGTACGCCCGCCTTTCCCTCCAGACTATGAAGAATCTTGTTGAGTTTAGTCAACAAATATTGTGTGCCGCCTCTTTGATTTCTTAAAACCAGCGCACCATCCAATAACCAATCCCCATTGGATCTGATTTAAACATGACAATATATTTTATTTCATCTCAAAGATTGCTTCAGCCCGCTTGTAAAGTTTAACGAAATCGGGAAGATCATCCTTGGAGTGGCAGAAGAGCCTCTTACATATGTCTGAAATGCTTCCCCTACAAATGGTGGAATAGGGGAAAATTCTTCATCTCCCTGGTCGATCTCAAGTGGCATTTGGATCGAGCGTATGCAAGAGAGTCCTTTTGAAGGTCCTGCATAATTGTAAAAGGAAGGGGATCGGAGTTGTGGGTGGGCCAGACAACCCACGTCCTGCTCCCTTCGAAGTTCATAGGAACTACCGAAGAGCCACTGCACTCTCCGAAGGCAACAATCCATTGGAATATCCAAACAAGAAAACCTCACCTCATTTCTAGTACTTATTCAAAGAAAAATTCTCCTCTTCAAATGTTTAGAACCATGATTACAGCAAGCAAGGAAGGCAGAAAGAGAACTCAATCAATGCATCCATCCTATACCTGACAGAGAACTACTCCATTGTAAACCCAAAACAGTGAAGTTCATAAATGGAGGTTGAGGCAATACTTATACAGCCCATTGAAAATGTACACATGTGAGCTCCAGTGAAATGAAAAACTAATTAGACTGACAAGAGCTTTAAAAGAGACCTCTGAACTTCAAGTCTTTCTTTGTAAATTACATTGTTCATAAAGTAATGGTGCTAAAAAACTCAATCTAAATAATGGACCCTATGACTTGGGGAAATTTTCTCTATTACCTATGAAACAGTAAAGTAACTACTTTACCCCAATTTCTGTGTATAGGCAAATCAAAACACTCTGAGAGGTTCTGAACGCCTTATCGTTAGGCATATGAAAGAAAACTATCTTAGGGAAAAGAAGAGACACTGTTATCGTAGGCAACATTGACACATTCCTCACCCGACATATCAGAAAAAATAAACAAGTCCAGCAAATCTGATACAACATTAATCTAACAATTAACAAGAGGCTTCTCTAAATAACATAGTAAACTAAATGAACATAAATCTATCTTACACAGAGGATTTACCTGGATTGTGAGATGCCGGCACCAAGATAGAGCAGATCTGCTGTCAGCAGCAATGCCAGATGGCAGACAAGAACACACTAATAAGCTTGTGTAAGGATTTTCTGCTATCTTACTGCGTGGAACGGAGTAGAGGGGCACTGTTCCATCATCATTCTGATAAACATCCGAAATTGTTAGAGTTTTCTACAATTCCTCCTTCTTAGGGGAGCGGGGAGAGCACACCAACATTTTAATCAGAATTGTATATAACAAAGAAGAACCAAAAATCTAGACAGATAATATAAGGATTCTTTTAGCAGTTTCACATCAATTAACCATCACATGCACATCGATGTGATGCACAGACATATGAAGAGATGTAACAGGGTCACAATTCATCTACCAAAGTGGTATCATGAACTCAATTTTACTGGACATGTGAGCAGCTATAACTGTCAGATAAACAAGTTCAATGACAGTAAACAACACCTAGTTTTTCTGACAGCTATGCAACAAAAGCAAAGGACATTTTATTTAACCAAAACATGTGAAATTCTGTGTCTACCAAAACCTTCAAACGAAGGTTGTATTATGGTTATGGAACCAAAAGGCTGTGACTTGACACATTCAAAGAAATTATTTAGAAACTAGTCCCTTTCTCTATTATTATTATTATTTTAATTATTATTCACTGATCAATTCATTCAATTAAAAGAAGAGATAACAGAGGAGGATATGCACCTGTATAAAGAGAACGGGAATCTTCATGCTTCCCACTGAGTCTCGTGTGCTTGACTTTGAGTAAAAATCTTCTATTGCTTCAAATCCATAAAATACCATAGATATTGCTTTCTCAAATTCTAGCACAGATTTTGCTACCAAAGCCTTTTCCACATCAAATCCTTTTGCTCTCCCTTGGAAGAGCTCCTGATAAGGATGAAACCGCCATACAGTTAATTATTCATAGCAAAGAGCTAAATTGCCGAAACTACAGAAGTCACATCACTTGAATCGCATTTGCCGCAAATGGTCAGCTTTCTGATCCAGGATGAAGAATACCGGGACTAGGAGATACCTTATTGCTACGTAGAATATCTACTAGTCCACTGGTGAGATTCTCATCTGTGCCATTGTGACGTGCAGAGGACCTTGTCACTTCCTCCAAATCAAAAGGGTTGTTTATGCATATTGCCGCTGCCAGAGGTGTCCTCTCCCCAGCCTCAGCGAGGTACTTTGTCAGCATATTTGCCCCGAAACCCCACCCAACCCCCATCAATGTCGTCCAAGGCCTCGCCTTACCGATAAACTGAACAGCTGTGGAGATATCATCGCTGTCAGCAGCTGTGAATAACCTACATAAAATGAAAGTATTCAGGAGTTCCTACTATCAGCTTGCTTTTGCTTGGATTCGGACAAAGCAGCTCTAACTCTGAGGATCTCCACCCAGGAAACTTATCTCGAGATTCTACTGCAGAAATGAGCACGGACAGATCCTAAATGCCAGTGTCCATCCCGTGATTCTATGGATTCCTTACCCACGCTAATTGACAGTGCATATTCAAAGTACTCAATACGAAATTCTTTTACTCATACTAGTAGAAATGTGTCTAGCACATTCAAAAGAACAATCTCCTCTAAGTAACTAACCAACTAACAACATCAACCCAATCTACCAAGAAACAAGGAAGCGCCTTACCTCGCCGTCGTAAGGGGCGAACCAGCGCATCCCCTCGGGTTCATCACAACCGGAAAAAACCCATGCCGCAGCGCCTCACAAACAAACGCCCTCACATTCTCATCCATACTCCCCTCCGCCGTCCCCGGGACCAGCAACAGCGTTGAATCCAACCCGTGCTCTTCCCTCAAGTCCAAATTCGCCGGCCAATCGATCGAAATCACACCGCCGTCCGCCGTCCCGACGCAGACTCTCTGATACTCCAATTTCTCCTCCAGCTCGCCGTCACCTTCCCTCACCTGCATCCTCCCGCTATCGAGCCTCACGAAATGCCGATCCTCCTTCACCAGCTTCTCGTTCACGTCCTCCAGCAGCTCGCTCCCCTCGAACGATATCGACGGGCACCTCAGCAGCACGAAGCGGTTGAACGGCGTCGGGCTGGAGAAGAGAATCCACTCGCCGACGTCGGGGCAGCGCCGGCCCCGCCCGGCCTTCCGCCGACCGAGGGAGAAGGCGGCGCCGGAGGCGAGGCCGAAGAAGGTGCCAGGGAGGAGGACGTCGGGAGAGAACCGGGAGACGAGGCCGCGGAGGAGGTCGTCGAAGGGGAGATGGAAATCATCGAGCTGGGCCCTGAGGGGCAGGTGGCGGCGGTCGGCTGGCTTGAGCCGGCGACGCTTGTAGACGCGGAACTCGCGGGCTCGGAAGGGGCGCGCGGGGCAGAGGAGGGCGGCGGCCGGCGGCGGAGGGGCGGTCGGGGAGCGGAGGTGGTTCATCGGGGGGAAGCTCAAAAGTCGGCTGCGTGCGCAGGAGGAGTGAATGATGATGACGGGAGTGTGTAGAGAGAGAAAGCTCGAAGCTCGAGGCGGTGGATTTAGAGAGAGAGAGAGAGTCGCGGGAGGGTGGCGGAGAAGACGGTGGCGGTGGCGGGGAGTGTACGGAAGCGGTGGTTTTCGGCGGGGGCGATGCGGTGGAGCCCGCCGTGTGAGGCGTGGGAGGGGGGCGGAGGGGTTGGCGCACGGCAGTGTTGCTTTCCAGAAGGAACCCGAGACGGACCCAATAAAATTTAAAAAAAAATATTCGAAAAATGATGAGAAACGGTTGATCCAATGCGATGCAGAATTCGCGGTCAGGGAACGATGCGCGAGCCAGTTCCGCCACGTGGATCCTTTGCTGTCGTAGGCTCGTCAATTAAAATATAAAAAAAGGGCGGTGCGTTTGCCGACACAATCAAATCTTGGTAAAGCAAAAGCGGATCGGGGCCCCCCACCGGACCGGGGGTAATTTTGTAGCAATAATAGAGTCGGGAGTTCGACTCCCGACACATCACATTAGGATTATGAATGGTGTAGAGTGAACATGGATCGATTTGAAAGTTCCGTAATGGGCTGCGGCGTCTTTATCATCCTTTCATCACTATATGATTGCCTCCTCCCACTCTATTAATTTCATTAGAAAAAAGGAAGAACATTGTGGAGCTAGGATCCGTTTGTTTCGCGAACATTTTTCAGGAAAAATATTTTCCCCATTTTTCGATATTTGGATCACTTAAGAAAATAAGTCAACGGAAAAATATATATTTTATTTTTCAAAATATGATTAGATATTGGCGCTTCAACTAAAAAACTTTACGTTTGAGTATAAAAACTCCAACGCTCGTTCCCAGGCTCTTGGCAGCAGACTTTGGTCTAGAGGGCAGGACGGGATCCACCAGGATCCATCAAGGTGAAGCCCTAGTCAAAAGAGGTCATGCCCAGAATTTTAGCGCCCAAGCTTGCGTCCATAGAGGTTGGGCTCGGGACACCGGCACCTTGGCATGGGTCCACCAAGGTCGAGCCTCGGACCTCGGAACCCTTGCTAGATTCCATGGCGCCCCGGTCTAGGTCCATAGAGGTCGAGCCCCAAACCCCGATGTTCATGCCCAAATCCCCAGTGCCCAAAGCCAAGCCCATTGAGGTCAGGCTTCGGTCCACAGAGGCCAGGCTCGGGAGTTCGGTGCTCGTGCCCTAGTCCCCGATGCCCATGCTCATGCTAGTCTCCTCGCACCTGAGACCGAGTCCATTAAGGCTGCGCTTGAAACCCTAGTGCCTATGCTTAGGTCCTCCACGCTTGGGCCCGTGCTCATCAAGGTTGGGTCTGTGTCCATTGAGGCAAGGCCCGAGACGCCGATGCTTGTGCCTTAGTCCATCCAAGCCGGCTCGGTATCCCAACTATCAAGCCTAGTCGCCTCAATAGACCCTAGCACGGGAACACAAGCACCGAGTTCCTGTGCCTTGGCCTTGATGGACTCGGACTCGAGTGTAGGGATCTAGGCACAAGCACTAGGATCTCGAGCCCAAGCGTCAAGGACTTGAGCATAAACATTAGGTCCCGGGGCCGACCACTGTGGACCCAAGCTCGAGAGTAAGGACTCGGACACGAGCACCAGGTTCCAAGGCTTAAGCAACGGGTTCCTTGGCTTAAGCATAGGGGTCCCGTGTTTGGCCTTTGTGGACCTGGCCCGGGCCTCAATAAATTCGAGTCAAAGTGCCACAGATCCGGGCATGGGCACCCGGGCCTCAAGCCTCGCCTCCGTGGACTCGGGCCAGGGTGCCAAGGAGTCGGGCATAGCCACTAGGTTTTGGGCTTTGGCTTCTATGGACCTAGGATTGGTGGATCGACGTCCATCAAGATCAAACCTGGGATCTCAATGCCCATAGCCAGGGGTAGCTAGTTCCCCGGCTACTCATGTGAAAGTCACTAATATCTAAATAATAAATGTCTATTTAGGAAAATCAAATCAAATTTTCTGTATTAAATAATGAAAAATATTTTTCAGTGTTTTTTTAGATTTCAACCAAATATCGAAAAACATTGTTATTTTCCTGAAATATGACTTCTTGGAACGTTATAGTTTCCACGAAACAAACAGAGTCTTAGATTAAATAAAAGACGCGCATGGCCGATCAAAGCGATAATCAAGTAATTTTACCAGCCTCCGACAAAATTTTTTTTTTTTCTAAAAGATTTATCTAAAAATGACATATGTTCGATACTTGAGGACTAACCAGAGCTGTTGTTTAAGTTAGTCAGACGATGCATATAAAAATTTCGACCAGAGAAATTTTCTCCACTTGACCAGACGCATCGGCTTTTGATGGACATGGCCCATCCTCTCCATACACCCGATCCAACAATCGAGCCCAAGCCCATCAAAATGTCACGAACCATTCAGGCATTCACTTTCCGGAGAAGGGGCAGGGGCGAGTTCTTGTGAGGTTAGAGACTTATTTCACCATATCAATCAACCACATATCAAGAAAATCGTGCATGACCTAAATTGGGTCCCGCCAAAATATGCTAGCTATCCTACGGTTCATGACTGTGATCGGCTCTGTCAATCACATGATTTGATACACGAGTCGACCTAGCATCTTGTTTTTGGGAGGAGGGGGGGGGTGTTTCTCATTTTGCAATCCGTTCATGTTGTGTTATGCATACCAACGCTCGCAAACCCAGACATGCGCCGAGAAGACTTAAGTTGAAACAAGCCCGAAAAGGGTTTCCTCTCAAAAGGCCCATTTATGATGATCGCAAAAAGTCCACGAGCGAGGAATGCCGATCCCCCGATGAGAATGACTAAGTTGACCCTCCGGAATGGGCTAAATCGTTATCGAGTTAGACGGCACAATTGCCTAGCTCCGGCTGCAGCCAGAGGTTGCCCTTGGATGAACAAAGTTGTGATCGGGAGTCTAGTCCACCGGTATTTCTACTAGATTCGGAGGCACGAAGTGAAAGCTTCGCTTCTCAGATTTTCTGGAGTTCAATTTCGCACATCTTAATCAGAAAAAAATATTAAATTTTCCCCCCAAAAAAACAAAGAATTTTCTTACAAGCACGTTCCGATCAAACCCTAACCCACCCACTAACTCTTCACGTGGGATCATCAATCGCCCCCAGAATTTGACTGATCCCCATGGCAGAAGACTGGGAAGAGAGAGCTCGGCATATAATAAGCTTTAGCCCTACAACACATTGGGAAGAAAGCCATTTGACCCTCATGTGTCCCCCCGGCTTAGAACAACCCTTGTACCTCCAATGACAAAGCTCACATGCACCCGATCTCGGCGAATCTCGGGTCGACACGTCTCGATCTGTCGTTGTCCACCTAGCCTTCGTTTCGGGTTTTTTTTTTTTAAACCCGGTTTAACAATGTAGGTACATGCTTATGTCGATATTCAATCGGCCGAGATGCTAAGGAGCTGTTCGAGGTAACTCCGACACACGGATCTCGCACGTGATAGGGATCGTGTCCGGGATCAAGAGCGCCCACATCGCACGGGACTGTTGCCTCGATTTTGACAGATCCTGGGTGCGATCCGACCTTGCTGGCTGCACGCATCGAGCATCGAGCGGCGGACGTTGGACCGTGACGGAGGAGATCGCGAAGGGGATCCGGGCTGTCTCCTCCCTCGACCCAGGTAGGCCAATACGGTCCCCCTCGATCATATATCTGAGAAGGGTTTCATTTTCGAATGGAGGAATTCGTTCGATTCGGTTTATTTTTGGAAGAAAATCATCATCATCGATAAGAGGCCAAAGGAAACAGAGCGCCGACTGTCGAGCAGAGATTTGTTCTGATTGATTTGGCTTTGTTTTGGTGAAAAATGACAAAGCATGTTCGGCCAAATCAATGGTTAGCGACGATCACGGTGTGCGGCCGTGGTGGTTTGTGGATTATGCGTTTGCATTTCCTTTCTGGTTTGGGAGAATAATTGATAGCCAAGGCGCCGTTCTTCTTTCCTTCAAATTGACTAGCTTTCGTGCATTTATTCAACTGAGTATTTTCTTTTTGGGAAAAAGCCACAAAAAAAAACTTCAAATTATGCCCATCGTAATACATTCATCCTAAATTTTTTTTGTAACATCAAAAATCCCAAATTATACCCACCGTGACACATTTGCCCCAACGTTTTTTCGTGACATAAAAAACCCTAAATTTGTTCTTATGTGATACATTTACCCTCCTTCAAGGTTTTCGTTAGATGATTTTTCGGTCAGAACAACATCGTTTTTATTTCACTTCATGTTAACATTATTTGTTTTATGGCGTACATGTAGGCAAATTTTTAACGTTTTATCATTAACGGAACTTTGACGGGAGTAAATGTGTCATACAGTTACAAGTTTGGATTTTTTGGTGTCACAAAAATAAGTTTAGGATAAAAGTGTCACAGTGAGCATAATTTATGATTTTTGGTAGCTTTTGCCCTTTTTTGTTTATCAGTGGATTTTTTTATAGAAAAAAAGTACAGATCAGAAATTTTTCTGTTCTTTTCAATACCTTAAAAATAAAAAATTTAATCGAAATTTAGAAAAAGAAGATGAGAGAAGGATGAAGTTGGTTCCTGCAAATGTAGAGACAATTCATGATTTTCACTGAAAATAGTTTCCAGGCGAGAGTGGGCAGTAAACATTTTCTTTCAACTTTACTTTTATCGATTTTCTTTGGCCATTTTCACTTCTTCTTTTTTTGTCTTTAAAGTTAAATTGATAATGCATATTGGGCTAAAATTCTGGGACTACAATAAATAAATTTAAAGTTCATAGACTACATTACACATGAAACTAAAGTTCAGAGACCATTTGTGTCATTTATCCGAAAAAAAAAATTATACGACATTAATCCCGATTATTATAAGCTTTCGCAACAGAAATGAACATGCCACGGCAAAGAAAATGTTTATCGCGGCACTTGGGTTCGGCGTCCGATGTTTGGACCATCTTGCATGGCTCACATGGGAACGGTATGTTCAATTTAGTCTTTGGACTGTTGAACATTTTCATACGGTTCAGGGACCACATTGAACAAGTTAAAAGTTTATGGATTTCACTATACATTGGACCAAAGTTTAGGGATCACGTTACACATTAGGCCAAAGTTTAAAGACCATTTGTGTTATTTTCTCAAAATGAAATTATACATAAATTAATCCCGATTATTATAAGCTTTTGTAACAGAAATAAACATGCCACGGCAAAGAAAATGTATATCGCAGTCCTGAGGTTCGGCGTCCGATGTTGGGCCATCTTGCATGGCTCACATGGGAACGGTATGGGCACGACACGTGCTGTAGAAGAAGGGGAGATACATCGGATGATGTTGTGATACGCGAAACCTGCCTGCGTCCATGTGTGCATCACATGGCCCCCTCACCTCCCCCCTCGTCACCCTCGGCCACATCGCGTCTCCGTCGAAGAATTTATGTCGTGTTTGGCTTTCCATGGTAGATGTAGATGCGTGAAGCTAGCACGACCGGTCGATTCACGTTGCGTCGAGGGCAAAGAGAAATGGGGTTTTCGCTGAAAACGGGCCGAGGAAAACCGGGCAGCATCGCGGTTCGCACGGTTCGGCCGCTAAGGAGGTATTCGTGGTCATCGGATCACGGGAAACCCACGGATCCACAATCCGATTATACTTGGAGGGGTACATTTCGTGGGTGACGGGGTTCTAGTATCAAGCGCGCGCGTGTATGCAGATGGAATTACGTCGCGAATCGAAGACGGGAATGAGGCATATCTTTCGTTGAATCGCTAATCGATCGACATTGAACACATTCCGACACGCACGCATGTGTAGGAAGATAGAGATTTTTTGGGGATGGGGGTTTGATGTGTGATTTTCTATGAAGCATGGGTGTATTATTATTAAATTGGATTGGAGTAAACAAGACACATGATCCGGTTATGGGGGAAATGCCTAATTGGGAGTGGATCTCAGTTTTAAAATAAATTACTCGCATGTGTATGGTTGAGAGAAACATAGTGGCAACTTCTTTAGCATCAACAAATCCTTTAGCGACTCCTTTTCATCGATTGGGCTTCTCCCTTCAGTTAACTCACATTTGACCTCCATGCTTCTCTTGGTAAATAATCACTTTGTTAAAATACGTCTACAGTTTGAGCGAGTTTCCTATTTTGGATAAATATATATGTATTATACGGCATAGCAAACGAGAAGAGTATCGGATTTTCTCTCCGTGAGTTTCCTGAATGAGCTGTGAGATAGTAATTCTGGGTTTGCTTTGGACTTAATCAGGGTGTAGGAAATACTTGAGTGTGTGAGCGATTGTAACTCTGTAATTCTCCAATTGATTAGCTGATTATTTACCAACGGCTCTCCCCGTGAATTAGATACCGACATTCGGACCGAACCATGTAAATCTTTGGTATCATTTAATGTTCTTTGCTTATTTTTTCTGGTGATTTTGTGTTAATTTAATCGCAAGATCCTTTAGCGTCTCCATATTATATTGCGATGCACTTTCCAAAAGAATGTTCGCGTATTGAATGCTCATGGTGGTCACACGAAAGTAAAAACCTTTAGGGCAAATTGAGTCAATAAATATATTTCCTATGGATAGAAGGGTGGGAATTGGCAATGGACCCCTCACAACGTTACCGTAAGGATTCCAACACTCGTAATAGAACATTCAGTTCAAGTCGTAATTACCCTCGTGAGCTCATCATCGTCATCATACTAGTGGGAGTACAGCCAAGGCTAATCTCAGTCCACAGCATGTCCGAACCCACACCGCAAACGAACCGAGGCTTCCTGAGGACGAAGAGCGACCGAAACGATTCGAACTGTTGGACGGGGAGGCCCCAAAACGCTCGGGACTAAAGCCCTATACCCCTAGTTGACCTTGATGGCAAAAAACGAGTTGCTATATAAAAGAAGTCATCAATGCTACACTACTGAAAGCATCGACCAATACTACTAGTAGTCCATTACCATAGCTAGCGAGTGGTTGACATTTTCACGAAGGAACCCCCCCAAAAGAAAAAGGGTTATCTTCTCTCGTCCGCCCTTATTATTTCCAACCAAGGTGGTTAGCCCCCGGTTGGTCACATTTGACATTTGTAGAAGCAGAACAAGACAAAAAAAAACAAAACATTAATAATCACGTACGACCTTTGGTCAGAACTATAAACACAACCATAAATTTTGCCCCAAAAAAAAAGAGGGGGTAAAATCGGATAATAAGGCTAGGGAGACCTACGCACATGCCCGTCGCTATCGCGTAGCGATTTTCTTTTGCCAATTGAATAAAAGGGTAGGCAAAAAATGTTGAATAAAATTTTAAAAAAATTAATGGGTTTATATATTTATTGATATTTTAAATCTTTTTTTCCGGGAGATGATTCCTCATCACGGTTTGATGGAGACCACCAACTCTCTCTCCGGTTGGTACATGTACATGAACGTGAAGGGCTTAATACGGACAAAATTGTCAATGCCCCCTTTTGGCGACCAACGTCCTTTTGCAGCGCCTCGTGCCACTATTGCAAACAACAACAAACTTGAAAGATTAATTCCTCACTCGACTTTAGAATTGGGTCGGATTTGTTCTGTTTCAATCCCTCCTGGCATGTTCGATTGCAGCAGCCTATGCAGAGCCACATACTCGTGTTTGGTGGAGCGGATAGACTTTGGAAACACCCAAGTAAAAAACACCAAATGAAGGGAATTCGTGATCGGAGCATTAAGGGTGTAACGATTGACCTATAACGAGTTCGTTAGGTATTGATTTCTACAACTTTTCAAATTATCGATGGACGTCGTGCCATTTACTTTGCATGCCAGAATTTCTTCGAATATGTCATTGAATTCATTCGAGACATTGGTGCACTTGACCCTGACGTCGTATTCGACCGAGTGAGCAATGAAGGGAATTCCGGTGTAATCTACCCGTATGAAACGAGCTTATTAGTATATTAGTATACGAAATTTATACGACAAAAAGAAAAAAAAAAGAATTGCCTTGTTGGCAAGTTGTGTTCAAAATTATTTTTTTTTCATGCGTGGGACCTGCGACGTGGGGGAGTGCCGCTTGGACCCACCAAAAACTATTTGCACCAACACCCGTCTCCCTCTCCTTCGATCCTCTCCTTTATATTCGAACCTTCCCTGCTCCTTCTCACCCTCTCCAAAACCTCTCTCTCTCTCTCTCTATCTCTCCCTTCCTCCATGGCCAAAGGTGGCAAGCTCACCAAGCTCAAGTCCGTCCTCAAGAAGTGGAACTCCTTCGGCCGCGCCAGCAGCAACGGCGCCGCCTCCGGCCGCCGCCGCAGCAGCAGCAACATCTCCGCCGTCTCCGACGACGGCGGCGCCCCCGCCTCCCCCACCGCCGTCTCCCCATCCGACCTCCACCCCGTCTACGTCGGCAAGTCCCGGCGCCGCTACCTCGTCGGCCCCGCCGTCCTCCGCCACCCGCTCTTCCGCGAGCTCGTCGAGCGGTCCTCCCCCGGGGACGACTGCGCCCCCAACGACGACGAGACGGCTGCCGTCAGCGTGGCCTGCGAGGTGGTGCTGTTCGAGCACCTGCTGTGGATGCTCGAGAACGCTGACCCCCAGCCCGGGTCCATGGACGAGCTCGTCGAGTTCTACGCTTGCTGAGCGAGTCCAGACCACGACCTTCTGACTCGGTGCCTGCACGACGCCGTATAAAAGCTGTATATTCTTTTCGAAGGTAATAACGCGATTAGCTGGGGCGTAGAAAGTTTCAAACGATGCTGAGCAACATACTAAGACACTGCTAGAGAGAAAAACGTTACCGCTCGCGAGTTGCTCGTGTTGTGTGACTCGGTGAGAGCGAGGATTGACCTATTTTTACGCCGGCTAATCTCGATTCTGGATGGCTGGTGACGAAAGGATTAATTGCGATTCCCATGTAATTGTACTCTTGTTCAGTTATATATTCAGAGTGATGTTCGTTTTGCATTCGCGATTTCATTGTATGCACAATCCCCGTTTCACGAAAAGGGTCCCGTGAATCAGCGTATCTCTGGAATGCAAAATGTGGGCAAAGTAATACCCCGAGATCACAAATCATGCGAAAGACGCACTCTATTAGCAATGTACTTGTACCATAGCACGTAAATCACAATTTTCTCGTCAAAAAGAGCGTGAACAAGTCAATATACGCGAGACAACTATCATTTACTATGAGCCATAATCTCCGAGGACGGGCAACTTAGCAAGTAGCACCCTCATGCGTCGTGGCATCCCGTACCCAAGAAACAAAAGGACAACAATGGAAAAAAGTTTCACATGCATGCGGCAGACTATCGGAGCTAAAGATTAAGCGGATAAAAATCACCTATCGATGCATACATCATGTCATACTTTCCAATTTACCCAAGTAACGGAATCTTATAAATGTTATTTTTTTTTTGTGGTCTCACTCCTCTCTTCTATGTATATGTGTATGAAGTGCTCACGGGGATCAAACCTTGAACTCATTACTCTCCTGCCCCACCCCCCAATCTCTTTACCAGCAGGTCCGCATGCTTATTGGCGAAAATTATAAATGTACTAAGCGGGCAAAGATTATAATCTAAGCGATTTACGATAGACATGGTCCTTGATACTTCGAGGGGCTGGGACTGCTTGGGGACGAAGGAGATAGTACCTGAACAGCGTTTAGAGTTATCTTCACTTACGTTATAGAGTCGGTATCATGCGATTCAAAGTGAAAGAAAGAGTTAAACAGATTCCATCGGTAGTTGGTATCGAGGCAAAAAAACTTTTCCATTTGCGCCCTACGTCGCTGGACATGGATCTGCTGTCATCCACAAACCACGAACGAGGACGCAGCAACCGAAAGGACCCATTCGATCCGTCATTTTACATCGTCCATTCATCAAACCATCAACACGAGACAACAACGTTAACGTTAACGTCAACGTGCTTCGCAAAGCTTGACATTTGAAGGGCATCTTCTCGCGGGCGACCAACAGCAACGGGTTAAAACGAGAGGACGGCAAAAAGCAAAAAAGCACGTACTGGACAAGAACTTACGTGGAAAAACAAATGGGTTTTGGAGTCGCTTTTTGGAGGGGCGATTAAGAAATGTGATGGGTAGGTTCCGATACTACTGTGCTAATGATGAGGTGGGTGGAGATGCTGGAGCATGGATTGGATTGTCGGTATCCTCCAAAGGAGCTTTATCTTTCTCGTGGCTGTATATGTTCGAAGACTTTCATTTCTTTTTTCATAGCAGAGAGCTATAAAATACACAAACTTTAGCAACCGCGACGCGTTTCCAAGCTGCCATTGACAACCCTTCAAAAGTTTGTGCTTCTGAAGGAAGCCCTACGCCCCTCGAAAAAGAAAAGAAAAGAAAAGGAAAGGAAAGGCGTTGCCCTACCAATTGGGTGACAAGCCAGGGTGTGTGCGGCGGTCATTTGACCTTTCTCATCGTCATCGTCATCGTCGTCGTCGTCGATGTGTAAGCTTAGCTCTCGAAAAACCATACATGAAAACGTAAACTCGTGCCGTAATGCCTAGGTATAATGTCTCTCCCTCGCGCGTGCGTGCGTTCATGCCTTTCTTGGCGTTGTTGTTGCCTATGTCGCGTTGCCGACGCCGACATTATAAGGGACGTAATGTGGAGAAAATCACGTTATCATTGTAAGGGCGAGTAGATCCTCATGATCCCTGTCATTGCAGTGGATGAGAAAAAATATTAGCTGCCCCTAGTGCATGTGAGGGCCCCCCCCGGTCTCGCGCATCGCCGGACGAGATCAAAACTCACTTGATGTGACCGCTGATGTAAGCTGGGTTCATGGTTTGGGTGCGTGCAGTATTCTCTCGATTTTTGGGGCTGAGACCGCGCCGACGTGAGAGTAGAGTGATAAAGTGATGATCGATGGTGGCGGAGCTAGATTTCGCAAACGGTGGGAGATTGGGATTTTCGTTTTCATGTGAGCTATTTAGTAATGTCCAAGTGGAAACCTATTTAGATATGTAACCCGCCAAAGTAAGCCCTAAAATCTAAGGGAAGAGATTATCTTTCTTTTTCTCTTTAATGTGGAGAAAATCAGGTTATCATTAGGTCTTAAATCTGCAAAACCCGTTCAATGCATGTGACTGATCCTCTCCCAGCATACCGGGTGATATATTACATCTTTGGTGCGCAACTCGGGTTCCAAGGATTTTCCGGAGCTCCTGCCTATAAGCGAACCTACAACCATGAACACAGGTTAGGGCATCCGAACCTCTTTCTCGATTTTGAAACGGCTATTTATAGAGTTTTCTACTTTACACGCCGAGTTAGTATTGACAGGTGATCACCGAGTTGTGACAAGTGTCGGCTTCTTACGACAATTGGCAATGCGTGGTGAGGAGTATGATATATCATGTGACATGTGACGGTCCAACCGTTTACGGTGCGTCTTCAATTTGTCCCGTCTTGACTCAACAACCGAGTTGCGTCCTTCGTTAGCTATTCCCATCGTGTAGGAATAATTCATTCTTTGCAAAACAGACGGAGCCATAGCAGTCACACTTACTTATTGTTAACTGAGTATATTTCTTCCCTCCAACTTAAGAGGGTCTAACTTTTCCGTTTCCGACAAACCGATAGGGATTGAACATGGTTATGGAGGTCTATCAACGTTTGCTTGGTTGTAATTTGTTGAAATTAATGTCTATTGCCTTTTCAATCATAAGGACAACTAATCGAATCTTTTCTCCAAATTACACTTCAACCCGTTAGCATCATGAAGTTTGAAAAATTATCGATCCATCATTTCAGTCACTTGCTGGTGCATGAAAAATCACAATCTGCACGCCATGTTCAACTTGTGACTTCTAACTTTTAGATTGTGATGGATTAAACCGGTTTGACCGCATCATAGACCCGATTTTCTAAATTTTTTTTTACATATATGTGGTTTCTGAAATTCTCCGAGCACCCAACTAATTTTCCATAAGTTGTGGCACACATGTCGAGTAATTATCGAAGACACACGGGTCTGTGCTCCTAAGGGTGGCCTCAAAAGAAAGCGCAAGTATAACGATTTGTACCTAGGCCTCGAGAGAAGAGGACAAATGCACTTACGGCCTGAGCAATCTCTTGAGATTACTCGATTTTCCAGTATATATGATCCTAGAATGCATATTATTTGGCATGATAGTTATCGGACGTGCGCAAGACTGCGAGCAGCCGTAAGTTATGTGCATAACTAAAGCTTAAAGATGTTCGTGGGTCGTAATTAAGATGTATATATACTTCAAGACTCTTCCAACCCCACATGACTAAACATACTTTTCGTGAGGTTTAAGCGGAGCTTAAGGGCACACTTATTAGGCAACTAACAACAAAATGTGTTCGGTTCACGTTTCATAGATCAAACTATCCATTGTCAGTATGCTTAACAATGTCTTTTAAGACAGGTAAGACACACTCTCTAACATTGTACATAGGCTTAGAATTGCTTTTTTCCCAAGAGGGTTCTTAGGGAATTCGTCAAATGATTTTACGAAGAACGTCGACTTTTCTTGTGATATACGTTGTTATTATAATTTTCGAAATTGAATATTCACTTGTTACTCTTAATTATGGATTTTCCTTAAATTTTTGGTGTTCTATTGAGAGTTCAACTCACCAAAAAAAGAGAGTAAAAGCTTTTATAAAGGTTTCCATGACCTCTTCCCATCCTGTGGGGCGGCCTCCACGGATACCTTTATTATTTTGACTTATCTTCTGAAAAATTTTATATTTTAATGATGTTGAGATCCGAGCGAGAGCAAGATGAAATGTTTTAATGACTTCAATACGTCCGAAATGTGCTTGACAAGCACTCTCGAACCAATATAATCCGTCACACTTCGGGGCATTTCCATGCTCTGTTCGTCTCCAACGTAGACGACGAACCCCGGACATCGCCACGAGGCATGCCGCAGCCACGTTTTGCGGCTTTTGTGCATGAGATGAGGAGATGATGTCTCGCTCAAGTCAATCGAAGTCACCTGACAGACCGACACGAGGTCTCCCCGGTCATTTGGTTAGAAGGGGAGGGGCAGTTCGGTCTTTCCCCCCCCCAACTCCACCCCCCGGTCGGTCAGCGCCCCCCGAAGACAAAGCCCACGTGGCCTGTAGGTGGATCCCGAGTCTCGAAATCGGATTTCGCTACTCGCACGTGGGGGCCCGCGCCGCGACCCCGACGTTCGTCAGTACACGGTCCCACGTCAAGCTTTGGAATTTTTGCCCACCACGGAAAAACTCAAAAATAATAAAAATGATTTTCGGCAGGAAAAAAACAAGACCCAAATATTATAATAATTGGGCGAAAATCTTTTTCTTCACATCATTTGCACACATGCAGCACTCATTGCATATGACACTGCATGTGGCATGTTGCTGAGGGGTCCCTCCCTTATCTAAATTTTTTTCATGTGCATTAAATACGCCGGAAAAAGGAATAAAACCCTCGATAATTTTTTATCTTCAAAATCGAAGGCAATGAAATCCGAAGGAGTGATCGAGATTTTTTCAGCAAGTGCATTGCCAAAGCGGACAAAGATTAAACCCTTATTAAGGATTATTGTGTGCTCTGCGATTTCAATTATCTTCGTTTGGATTTTAACTTATGCATATTCTTTTTTTTGTATGATGAGAGATTCGTATCTGATACATAAGTGAACTCCGCGTGAAATTGCACATGCCTTTCTATACGCATAGCAGTTCTTCTGGGATCTGTCCTCGTGGGCTTTGTCCCCCTTGCACGTCAATATTCGTATGCACAGCGAAAAGTCCGGGAGATATATAATGGTAAAGATGGTAAACACTCGAGCGTCCCAAATTTCAAATCTCGAGTCATGAGAGTTTTCAGTAGGATACTTGATAGCCCTTCTTGGTTTTTTTGGGAGATTAAATCTATTATTCCTCAATGCTTGACTCCATTCTCTAGGCTTTTGAGTGCTTGGACTTTATGTCTAATCGTATTATCACAGTTTTGACAATACGCTTCTCAGACCGAGAAAGCGGGAACTTCTTGGATCGCCTGTTAGCTGCTCGATCTCAATTACTTCTCCGGAGCGCGAACTGCCGGGACAAAATTTTCGGCAAATCACGATAAAGTCGACCGCTCAGAAACGTCCATCGGGCAGGCCTGTCAAAGCCCCCATACGGAGGATAGGCTGTCGATATAACCAAAAAGAAAAACCCATCACAAAACAAATCCAACTTAACTGGGCTTCGGCCTGATGTAGCCCTCCACCAAGGTAGAAATATTTATATTTAATTTATACGAAGCGGTGACAACAAGTCGGGGATGTAGCTCACATGGTAGAGCGCTCGCTTTGCATGCGAGAGGTACGGGGTTCGATACCCCGCATCTCCACTTTTTTTATTATGCTTTTCCCTTTTTCCTTCCCTCCCCCTTTCTCTCTCGTTCTCATTTTCGCGAGCTTCGAGCGGGGCAACGCACGCCTCGCCGCCGCCAGAAGGAAGAAGCCTCCGCGCCGCGCCCTTTCGTCCTCGCATTCCAGAGGTCAGGTCGCGCTCGCTGGTTTCCTACCGACGCCGTCGCTCGCGCGCGCTCTCTCTTTTTTCGTCTTGTTCTTCGTCGCAGGTAGGACTCGTGGAGGCCGCACCGAGCATGGTGATCTCCAGAGTGTCCGGAATCGGAGCTCGGGTGGTCCGAGAGCTCTCGCGGCGAGGTTCGTGCCTCTCTCGGTTAGGGATTGTGCGCTCTTTTTGGTTTGGTTCCATGTCGGTTCTCCTTCGACGGCTTCTGATGATGTCCGTTTGGCGTCGGAAGATTCGCGCTGTGAATTTTTTCCCTGCTGATTCGTTCGGGCTGGGTTGTTTTTTTCGATTTGGCAGGCGCAAGTACGTCCCTAGTAGGAAGACTTCTTGTCGCGCGAAGACGTTCTAGTCCCGCAATGCAGCCGCCTTCGGTTAGTAATATAATCCTTCGGTAGTGGACATGGAGTGGTCGGTTTCCAGCTTCGAGCGTGCTGTTTTGGTTAATTCTCTATGTTTCGCGATTGATAGTGAAGCGAGCTGTTGGTATATGAGCAGAGTGTCATGACTTGAGTAGGCAATTGGTACCTGCTGGATTCTTGTTTACTCTTTTCTCGTTGCTCCGAAGCTTTGGAGGATTGGTACTGCATGAGGCGCGGTTGGCTTCGCAATGAAGCGGTCGCTGCTTTGAAATGTGAATGTCCCCATTTTCGTTATTAGAGAGCTTTAGCTGCAAAATACTAAAGAGAATCCTGCAATGCATAGCCCTACGGGCCATATGCTCTGTTAGCAGTTTTATGCGGCTCATACTTTGCCTTTGGAAAAGTTATTAACCATGTTATGAGCTATTCTGGTTGCAAATGTCAGCAAGAATTAGATTAGATGGAAAAGCATGGCCTTCTATGACAGTTAGTTCCATAATATAGTCACCACTTTCAGCACCAAAATTATGTGGTCATTGCTTTCCTTATGGTTCGCGGCGGCTCTGGATTCTTTGTGAAGCTAGGTTATCTATTGGGCTCGACTTCGTAATACCTTTTCTTTTATGTCATCATTTTTCCTGTTTTGATTTGTTCAATGTCTAGTCTTGAGTTTTTGAAATCCAGAGAGATAATGTCTGAGTGAATAGTCCTTGAATTGATTCCATACACTTTTTCCATATCAAAGGGCCTGCTCAGGTAGAATAACTGTCCTTTTGTTGGAGTGAGCACATTAGTTGATTTTTACTGTACAAGAAATGCTCGTGGATCTTCATATCTTTCTCTTGCTGTAATGGTTGCTTAATCATAGCACAATTGTGTGCTTTGCAATGCTTGTGGGGGTGGATCCTGTTCTGCTGCTGGCTTGATGTCCATGTTATGTTATATTGCTATCCAAATGTTATGCAAAGGTTATTTGCCCCCTGCAAATTTACATAAGTTGGAATATTATCTCCAGAGTGCGTCCATAATTTTTCGCTTTCCTCTTTCACCTGGAATTTCTCTCTGTTATCTGCAGCTTCTCTTTTAGTTGGATTGTTCTGTCAATAATGGCTGTCTACAGATAAAATCCCTGTCTTTAAATTTTTCTTCAATGGCTGTTACAGGATAAGCTGTTCCAGGGTGCCCTACTTCAGAAGCATTTCTTTTGTTCTGCAACCACTGCTGACGATGCTCATGTGGGACGTGATGAAGAGAAAGACAAGTGAGTTTCTATTTTTTTCTTTTGTTATTTTTTCTGTTTTTGGTATTAAAGAAGGTGGAAATGCAGTATATATGGTTGCATGCACTGTTGAGGTAGTTATGGTCAACTTAGCAGATCATTTTTGTGGTGAGGGTTAATTTAGTGCGTCATCCTAAATGAGTGCGGCTATTGGATGATCCCACATGAAGATTTGTTTATCTCCAGTTATGAGCCGGGCCCTCATTCAGGGGTTTCTCTATAATCGGACCACTCTTTAATGCTAGTGTACTTGGAGGTATTTTGCAGGATATCTGTGACATTTGTCGATAAGGATGGTGAAGAAAAGCAAATTGAGGTTCCCATTGGAATGTCAATGTTAGAAGCAGCTCATGAAAATGATATAGAACTTGAAGGTACTTGTATCCTTCTGAAGCAATTGTCATGCATTCTTCAGCTTTGCTGTCATCTTATCTGTGTGTTGTTGTCTGAATAATGCCAAGTTCTCTCTAAGTAGTTCCCCTCTCATCGCTGTTGCATCATAGAGTGTCCCAGAATGTTTATATTCCAGATTAGGGTATCTGTGTGCGGTTGATAAAGGATTGTACCATGAAATCTTAAGTTGCTGTGGCAACTCGAGTCTAATTTTGTCTTTTCTGTAAACTGATTCTGTGCTGTTATTCGGATATCAGGAGCATGTGAAGGTTCACTTGCATGTTCAACATGTCATGTCATTGTGATGGTATGTTTCTGAAATGCAACTTCATAATTGACTAGCCTTCCGAGTCTGACTTAAAAGGATCTAAAACTACGAATCTCATGACAGGACATGGACTACTATAATAAACTGGAGGATCCAACTGATGAGGAAAATGACATGTTGGATTTAGCTTTCGGGCTTACAGAAACGTGAGTGCTCACTCTTATGTTTGGTTTGGGGTCCACCCAATTTTGCACAGGGATGAAACTTCTCTGAGCGATAATAAATGGCTTGTTGGCAGTATGCCCAAACCTAGGAATGGCAGCCAGCTTCTGTTCAGAATGCACAGTGCTGAATAATGTGCCCATAAGTGAAATTTTGTCTCTCTTGGGTGTTTGCAGGTCTCGTCTTGGTTGTCAAGTGATTGCTAGACCTGAATTAGATGGAATGCGCTTAGCAATTCCAGCAGCCACGCGAAACTTTGCTGTTGATGGATATGTTCCAAAGCCTCATTGACATAATATAACTCTGGAAAGTTTTCTCTGAGTGTAAAGGATGCAGTCATCCCAATTTTGTAGCAGAGTACACTTCTAATCTCTTATTTTTTTTGTTTATGTATTGATTCCAGATTACATTTTACCCTATACACATGGTGTAAAATCCAAACCAGGTCTTTCATACGAAAGAAGTCTAAATAAAATTTGGTCTTCCTTAAATGTGATTGTGCTCTTTTCTCATAATTAATATTTGATCTTTCTTATTTCTGAGGGAATGTGCTTGCTTTTCCTTTGGCAATGTGCATGCTTTGTAGCTCTAGGATTTTGATTCTGTTCGCATGAAGAGAAGTTTCAAGTCTTCATTGTTTTAAAAAAATTTAGGCCTTTCTTACATTTTTCCGACAAGGTGAAAGGCTTGTTAAAGACCCAAGTAGAAAAGCGAGTTGGGAAAAGGAAATCATGGTTTGTATGTGCATGGTACTTGACGAGGTACAACACAGCATATGAGGTTTTTTTTTTGGGTTGGGGGGGGGGACATGCCTCAGAAAAGTAAAAACTCATTCTAATTCACAGAAACCATATAATCAAATTGTGGATAACTTTAAAGGTTAATTGATATTTTTATAAAGATTTGAGGTGTTGAATATCAACTATGGGCATGGTCCAAACACTAAAAGCAAAAGTTGACACATTAAAAGCCACATCCACCCCAAACACATTCTAAGTTTTGTTTGTTCTGTGGGCCGGATCTTTAGCTACCACTTCTTCTGGTGTAGTTCTCCCTTTCAGTAATCAGATGCATATCTTCTCCGTCCGAACGTGAGAAACTTTTTCTATTTCTTTTTCTCAATACTTGCTAAAAGGTTGAATGATAAGAGGGATGTGTCCTAAGAATTTCCTTCTTCTGTAGGGATGCAGAACTTGCTCCGAGCCTAATTTGTTACTCATGATAAATTAACAAGGTAAGAGATCCTTCATTCTCGTGACTGAGAGAGTGGAAATCTCAAGTAGTTTTAGTTTGTTGAGTGGAATTCATAGATGAAATGATAATTCATCTAGACATGCATGGAGCATCTATTGACCAAGACTTAGGTGCTCCAATGCTTTGATTACTATCTATTGGAACATTTATCCAGTCTATGCTTTGCCAGAACTTGTTACAATTGCATAACATGATGCTACTCTGTGTCAAACTGCATATGGTCACATTATTGAGTAGCAAAAGTTGGAATAAACCTGTAAGTGTGGACTAATCTCTACTTTTTATTTATGGGTATTGTTCTCTTTTTTCATCTAAGTTATTTATGGTGGCTTCAATGAAGTTAATGATAGTCTACTAATGCTAATTCCTTGAGCGTATGACAACTTGTATTCCTCCCTTGCCCATTATAAAAGATATAGTCTTCTAACTTCTAAGGAGAATAGCATGGCCTGCCATGCCAAAACCCAGCCTCCACAAGTAGATTTGAAGGTACATGCAGGAAAAAGAACCCACTCTGATCTTTCCTTTGCTCAACATCTATATTATATATCCCCATTCCATTAGTATCACTAAATTAACTTTGCCATCCCATGAGTATCCCTTCTAATTTAACTTTTAAGATCCCACCACTGTGGTGGGGTCTATGCAGAACATAGAGAACTAATTGTAGTGTAAAGATTGCCCTCTTTGCTAGCCTTCTGGTAAAATGCCGATTTGACGAAGAAATGCGACATATAAATGGACCATTATGCTATGAATTTGTCTGACTGTATCCCATCATGCAGGGCCATTTTCAATTATCTATTAAGAATTTTTCAGGGAAAATTTCTTGGTCACTGAGAAATGGTTGTCAAGCAAATAGACGAATTACCAAAATTTAAACGAAATTTTTTGTGGTCATGGCGATTCCCTCACCTTTAGATAAGTAATACTTGTTCCATCCCAACAATCCATTCGCCTTTGGTTCTAGCTGCTTAGGGCAAATCCTTGAAGATGATACGAGGAGACCACCAATATGGCCCCTTCTTTATGGCCAAAAACAGGAGCCGGGACTGCAATTAAATGGAGTAATATTAGCTTTTAGTCTTGCCACCTCTTCAAAGGATTTGAAGATAGATGCGATAATAGGAGTCGGTGACACACCTGATGGGCCTCTAAAATGTAAAATGGTAAAATTGGCTGGAGATGTGCCATAGAATCCACTCACAGTACCCCTCTCCAAAAGTTTCATGAGCCTAGAGATACGTGATAATGAGCCTAATTTAAGGCTACATTTGCATATTATGTACTTAGAAGGACATTTTCTTTCCTGTCAATCCGTGTAAATATGAAATTTTTTCTTTTGGGGTTTGGGGGAATATGTTTCATGGCTTACAAAACTATGGGTTTCCCCTTGTCTAGCTAGGGGGGATATTGGTTCGGTGAGTATGTGTTAGACTTGATGTGAGCCCTTTTATCAATGGATCATGGTTAGAGAGCAAATACATCAGTGTGTTGTTTTTCATACTCTAAGTAGATCATTAGCCTTCTGGGTAGAACATATCTTGGTATAATTTGCTGGTCTATTCATGTGTCAGAGCCATATTATTGTCCAGTCATTGATGATGAATTCGATGATGTATGGTGAGAGTGCCTGTCAGTTTGTCTCCTCAATGTCCTTGTGTTGTACTTCATATGTTTTTCTTGTTCGCTGCCAAGCTTCAGCTGCTAGAAGATTCTTATTAGCTAGTTCTTTTGGGGCCTTTCCTCATCTTTTGAAAGTTGTTGGGCTGCTTCATTCTATGGCAACTCAAGATCGGAATATATCATTTTGGCCGATAGCATTGATATGACATTCAAATGATGATCCCTTTTACTAACATGCTTGATTATAAAGAATTCCCTCATAAGATTTGCTCATGGTGATTGATTCTGGATTCTGATTCTTAGTCACTAGATGATGCTGGGTGTTGAGGGTGCATCTCTCTCTGTTTCCTTTTTGTTGATTTGTTAGTTCAACCTAAATGGCAGATTGTTGCTTAAGAAATCATACTAAGTTCTGCAGTACCATGTTTGTACTCTGCAGTACATATCTTGATGTGCTGTGTGTGGACCAGCACGAAATTGATTATTGGCCATTATCTTTGTACTTGATAGGAAATCGCGCTGTAGCTCAAGTTAATACGTTAACAATCTGCACACGACATGTGAAAACCTGGGGCATTTCTTGTAGCATAACTTGTAAGGCAACATATGCGATAAACATCTAACCCTGAAGTAGAATACACTCCCAAGGCATAAGGAGGCATCTGTATGTGCTGATTAGTTTTTTAAGGAATTGCAATTTGAAGATATACTAGAGCTTTAATAGACTCTGTGTCTCAAACGCTTTATCGGTATTCTTTTGCTCGGGGTCCACTGTTTCTACATCAATTACAGTTTAAGTGATAAGTGGTTCTTGATGTTGCATGCATGGGCCGTAATGGTTGTATGTAATGATGATTAACGTATAATCAATATGTATGTAATGACGATTAATGTATAATCAATAAGCGATTGAGTATTATACTACTTCACTTTGCCGTATCTTTATACTTTACTAGTTTGGCTGGACTTCTCTTTAAGAATTGTATCATATTTGTCATTCACAATGACTTGATCGACTGGACCTCTACTTGCAGGCTTCCACATTTTCTTTTTCCCCTTGAGTCAATAAAATACCACGGTTCACCAAACTCATACAACTATTGCGTTGCATACTGCATGCTCCTTTGTATATTCGCATCGCTTGAACCTACTGGATTTCTGCTGATTTAATCAAGCAGGACTTGCCATCGCTCTTTGTTTTTTCTTCTTTCTTATCTCTTTACGTGCTTTTTCTCCAAATGGAAAATACAAATGATGTTCACATCAGTCCTACCTTCATTCCTCTGTTCTTCAAGACAAGATTACTTCCTAATTCCCTTTTGATTACGTTAGGGAAAACGAATCACACATGCCTCAAAATCGAGACTTCCTACTCGAAATGTTCTCTTTTCGCTCGCAAAGTCAAAAGAAGTTGGTTGGGGGGTTTTACCTCTCCAAATCTAACGTCGAATAGGGGGGCTCGATCGACACTCCCGTCTCTCCCTTTTTGCTTCTAAGGCGACAACTACTCGTAGGCCGTGGCTTTCAATGGCATTGCAAGTCTTGATAAGTTGGCCCTTGAATTTGAAAAAAACACAAAGTAGAAACACACACACACCAAATCCCTAGCAATCCCATCATTTCTTTATACGACAAGAAAGCAAAAAAGAAAAGAAAAAACCATGGCCTACCAACAATTTGATCGCATGCTTCCTATCTTCTACCTACGCGAACCCACTCGCATCGCTCATGACTCCTATGAAAACGATGATAATCTTTAGTCAAATGATATGGTTTGCGTTCTGCCCCCTTATTCTACAATTCATCTTCGAGGCTACAAGCTCTTAGCCTAGTCGTCACCGTTCGTCTTCTTCTTTGTGCGAGGTAACGACGAAATAATTGTCATCAACTAAAACTGGGATATTAGAATAGAAGGCGCGTAGTAATCATTTGGATTGGGACCATAACTACTTCGTTTTGGACGCATCTCGTGGACAGCTACGTTAATTTTATGGACTTCCAACGATGGCATATAATCTTGTATTATTAGATGACCACACGACTTTCATCAGTATCGAAACTAGGGGTACAAATATGGGTTGTTGAGATTGCTCGGCTCGATCAAATCGCGACCGGTTCGTCCCAGAGTTTTACCGCGATAAACTGGGGCCCTTCAAAACTATTTCGTCAACTTCAAATGACAAATGACATAAAGACTTTTTAACGAAAAAATCATCACTAATCATGCTTGGGACTAAGGAATCGCCTGATTAAGTAACGCGACAATCATTAAGAATGGAGCAGATTGATGGTCGAGCAGCATTGGTCAAGCTTGAGTAGTTGTGGCTCTATCTCGGGAAGGCCGTCATTCAATTTCCAACTCAAATCGACGCTTCATATTCCCACGATTGATTTATAGGGTCATTAGACATGCATGCCACGTTAATTACCTAACCCCCTGACGTTGATCGACGACCCCCTCCACAGCCTCAGGCTCACTTTTTATTACGTGCATGAGAGTTTGCTTTCTTCCCCTTTCGGGCACTCCTTAAGCACGTTTCGGTTTTTACCATGCATTAAAAACAACGATCGTCGAAGGATTACGAAACCCGGGCGACCCATCTCCGGTAAGTGAGTGCGGCGCAAGCGACAACGACGGTTTTCATCTCCTCTGTTCTTTGCTGGTGAAAGCAAAAACGACGGTTCAGAAAAAGACTCCCGTTTAATCACCTTCAAGTGTTCCTCAAATCGATCAGAATCAGAAGAAGACCGCACGATTTCAGCCACAGAAAATTGGCTCAAAGGGAATTAACTTTCGTTGCTTCCTTCCCTCTCGAAGCAAAAGCTCGTATCGTCAAGAAAAGGGAAGAATAATTCTCAAAACAAAAGCAAGAACACATGAAAAGATTGTTAATGTAATTGTACTGTACAAGGGTCGTAGACCTTCCAGAAGGAGCCCTTGTCCGTGCAATATATTCTGAATTCTTTTCTTCGATTTCTTTCGTTTTATTATCGCTATTTGATTTCGTTTTTTTTTTTTTTGCTCTCTTTGTTGGTCAATTGTACTACCGGCGAAAATTCAATAGAAAGAGCCAGTACAAATGCTTGGAATATGTACATTATATATCGTGTTTGGTTCCAATGGTTGTTCATGATAATGACACATAATGTGTCCGAGACATTCTTGTCGTATAGAATACTCAAAATGCGTTGAGACACCCTCTGTCCCTCTAACAAACCTCTCGGGGTCTCACCTAACACTGTTGATTCTAGAACAGCAAAAAAATAAAAATCACCCATCGTATATGATAGGAACCCGCGAAAAAATCATTAGGGTTGCGATTATCATCGGATTCACGTCACGGTGCGCGCTCGGTCACTAATCCTCTTCGCGGGGTGCAGAATGCGTCCGTTTAATTAAGTATTTTGAGAGGGAACTAAAGCTGCTAATCATGTCATTAATGAGATTAGCTGATTCCCATAATTGACACAGAAAGAAGAGTCTGGCTCCCACCAACTCCCTGCATGCCGAAGTAGCAAAAAGTCTTCCCTGAGGGCGGCAGGAGAGTGCGATCCATGAACAGATGAGCACTGGCATTTGCCGTTTATTTTTTTTCTGTTTGATTTGTTTATTTATGGTGTGGGAATGGTTGTGAGGGAGGGAGGTCCTGTGTTTTAGAAGCAAAATAGTCACTCGGCCTGCAACATCTCCTTTCTAATCATATGAACCTTGTCAAACTTTGAGTTTTGATGGAGATGGAGATGGAGGGAATCCTTGATCTTCCAAGAAGGGAAAAGAGGTCAAGGAAATTATAAGCAACGACTGGAATGAGAAGCCGAACGAATTTTCATTCACATGTATGTCGGGTTATACGTGATTTCCAGCTGATAAATAAGGATAAATAAGTACCCGAAGTGGAATTAATAATATTGGTAATATATATGTGTGTGCCTGCATGAGGTGGGCAAAGGTTAGTAAGAGGTTAAACATGTCTAAGAAGGAGTGATCTTGTAGCTAATGGTGATTGTTGTTCGCAAAAGTGGTCCGAGTTTTGTTTGATTCGGACGAACGAAGTTGCATAATCTATTCGGTGTCACTATTGAAGGAAATGTTTGATGCGTTTTCCATTTTCATGTGCTACAAATGATAACGAATTTATTATTATGAAAAAGCTATATATAAGTCTAGGAGCATTCGGACAACGATGTCTTCTGATGTGTTCGTTTGTCCTACCATGTGACGAATGAATCATCGTGACAATTTGAAGACAATTTTGGGTTCGGCTACTTAGAAATTTATAATTTAACCGAACCAAACCGATAAATTGAATAAACAGTTAAATTTGTTGTCCTATTGACTAATAGAAAGTTGTAATTTAACCGAACCTAGTAAGATTTTCTCATCTGAAATCGTTGTATACTACTAAATGAAAGATTTTTACTTCTCAATGGCTGGCCATTATTGATATTATTTTACGTTCCATTTATTTTGCAAAAAATAAATGATCATTTGTATCATACTTACCACCTACAATTAATTTGATATAATCATAATTTATGTTCCTTTTTTTTCAATGGGCATGTAGACAAACTAAGTACGCGCTAAACTTCTTACTCTCGTACATCGACTTCATGGTCATGGGTTTGAAACCGAACCACACAGACAACAAACCAAGCCTACCGGTTCGATTAGAGCGGTAATTCTATCGGTTCGGTACTCATTTGGCTCGGGATCAGTCCCAGAAACCGGGCGAAAAGCGCCTTCGTACCGAGCAGCAAACGCCGCGAGCGCTCACGAAATCGACGGCGGTGGGGTATTGGCCAGATCCTTTGATTACTCTCATTTCATCAAATTAAAGGATGAGCCGGACATCAGATGGGGAAATGAACCATGTTAGGGAGGATAAGGAGGAAAAGCAAAGAAAAGAAGCAAATAACAAAAGAAGAAGAAGAAGAAGAGAAGAGCACGTAATTCCGACCAACCTTGCACAGACAACTCTCTCTCTCTCTCTCTCTCCCTCTCAATCTCTACTGGTCTGAGGTTTTCTTTCTTCTCTACCTTGACCCTTCAAGCATCTCATTCCATTACTATATTAAAACCACCACCCCCGATATCTCGTTCCCCTGTCCCTCTGTCTCTCCTCACCAGAAGCCCATTCTCTCTCTCTACAAAAAGAACCCATTTTTATTTCTCTCCTCCCTTCCTCCCTCCCTCCCTCATCTGAGAAATGGACGAGCCGATACGTGGCGCAATCCTCGCCGTAGTTGCTGGCGCAGGAGCATAAGCCAGCCCAGCACTTAAACGAGCAGCAGTACCCACCTCCCCCACTACCTCTCTCCCTCTGTCTCTGTGTACCGCTTTCGAAAGGTGGCGCAAAGCTTTGTTTAATGCGAGCCGCGCGCGACTGTTGCGTTCGAAAGGTGAATTCCACCCCGGGCTCTGTAAAAATGGTGACGGCGGCGGTGATGGTGATGATGATGGGGGGTCGAGCGATGAGCGAAACCCAATTCCCAACCGCTTTTTAAATTCGTCCCACGACTTCGCCACGCCCCTGCAGCAAGAAAGAAGAAAAATTCTGGATGCGTTGAATTCGCGTGTGTGCGCCCCCACGCGCCCGTGCGGAGAGATCGGTTGAGCGGTGTTTGTCTCGCTCCCCCTCTCTCTCTCTCTCCTCCTCTAACGTGTGATCGAACGAAACTCCAAAAGGGTCTCCTCCTGCTCCTCCTTCTCCCGGCATTTGTAGTGAGAGAAAACCACGCAGGGGCGCTCCCTAGACAATTCAAGTGCAGCAGTTGAGAGAGAGAAAGGGAAAGAGATATAGTGAGTCGGGTTCGGTTCGAACTGGGGGAATAGAGGATGAGGTCATCCGCTTCGATCGGGTCGAAGCGGTCCGACTACAGCCGCGGGTTCGACTTGCCCGAGGACTTCGAAGACGACGACGACGCCGCCGCCGCCGCCGACTGCAGGAGGAGCGCCGACTACGGGGGCGTCGGCGGGGCAATGCTGCCCGTGTTCCTCAACGACCTGAGGGAGAACTCGCAGCAGGACCTCGTGGAGGTCACCCTCGAGCTCGAGGACGACTCCATCGTCGTCCGCAGCGTCACCCCGACGAGGAACCACGACCGGGCGTTAGCCGACGACGGCGCCGGCGCCGATCCCCTCCCCCCCGCCGCCCCCGCCGCCGCGGCGCTGGAGAGGAACCTGTCGGTCACGACGAGGATCCGTCGGAAGTTCCCGTGGCTGAGGTCCGGATCGTCGCGGGCGGGGTCGGAGGCGGAGGGCGCGGCGGCGTCCGCCGCCAGGGAGGCGAGGAGGGCGACGGCGAGGCTGGACCGGAGCCGGTCGAGCGCGCAGAGGGCGCTGAAGGGGCTCCGGTTCATCAGCAAGGCCAACTTCGGCGCCACCGACACCGAGGAGCTCTGGCGCAAGGTCGAGGCTCGCTTCCACCGGCTCGCCAGGGACGGCCTGCTGTCCAGGGAGGACTTCGGCGAGTGCATCGGTACGTTCCTCGAAAACCCATCGTCTCGCGTCCTCTCACTTCGCAATTTTTTTCCCCCGCCCATCGACGCATCTCCGCAACAGAATCACGATGCATCGCGTTCTCACGTCACGGCTCATATTGAACTGCCATCATTTGTTCTCCAAAAACATCCCTTTACGGTAGCATTGCATGAGTTGCGTACGCTCGTCTTCATCCGTTGACAACCACTGACAAAAGAATTTACTCGAGCATCGATAATGCATGCGAAGTTGACGGCGGTTCACGGTGGGTGGTTCGTGTTGAAAACAGGGATGGACTCGAAGGAGTTCGCGGTGGGGATGTTCGACGCGCTGGCGAGGCGGCGGCGGCAGAGGGTCGCGAGGATCACCAGGGAGGAGCTGCACGACTTCTGGCTCCAAATCTCCGACCACAGCTTCGACGCGCGGCTTCAAATATTCTTCGACATGTGGGGCCCCTCTCTCTCTCTCTCTCTCTCTTGTCTGTCTCGCCCCCGTTTTGTTACCGTCCGTTCGATCGGATCGAAGCGAGGAGGGGCTTTTGCCTCGTTGACCGCGCGCTTTTCCATCGATCTGACGGCGGGGGGATCCTGACTTCCCAAGGCAGGCCCGGCCCCCCCGGCCGCATGATCTCGCGCTCGTGGTTTTGGGCGGGCGCGCGAGGGTCTGTCATCTTCTCGGGATGATCGCGGGGTGATTTAATCATATCTGACGAGGGAAAGTTGAAAAGTGTCCTGGAAGCTTTAATTTCACTTTTTTCGGAACTCCATTTGATGATAATTATTATTATTATTTACAAAAGTACATTGAATGTCAACTTTAAAGTGCGAAAAAGGATTTTGGTAGTGAATTTTGTGATTTTGAATGTTACCGTTTTTTCTAAAATTACTTTGATGTGTAATCATCTCGTTGAAAATGAAAAATTTATTTGCTAAGAATAAAACTCGTTAGTAAAATCTTGCTAGAGTTAATAGTCTTGTGATTAAGGCTCGGTTTGTTTTGTGGAAAATATTTTCCTACATGGAATCGCTTATATCGGTTAAAATAATTAATCAATGAAAAATTTTTTCATTCTTGACAACAATTTATATCTAAATATTTTCGTGGGCGATGAAAGTATTTTTCGCTTATTCACTTTTTAAACGATATAAGCCATTGTTTGTAGGAAAATGTATTCTCAATCATTCATTTTCCGCGAAACAAACGGAACTTTATAATGTGTTCTTCACACTACCTCGAGGGCGTTCAACTATGCTCGTCAAGTATTTCCCTTTTCTCGGGTCGTGAAAAAATTAATGTTATCAGGTAAAAATGAAAAAAGAAAGTCTCCAGTCGGTTTTGAGTTTTTGAACTGGATTTGTTGTACCTCCTCAATTTACTTTTATAATTCATGTAGCTTTGACAAATATCCTAAAAGCCCTGATGAAAGTCCTGATGTGTGTATATCCTTTGTGCTTTGCCAGGGCGGACAGCAATGAAGATGGCAGAATCACCAGGGAAGAAGTGCAGGAGGTAGGACTTGCTTCTTCCTCATCTCTGCATTTGAGTTTTGTCATCATCACTGGAGTGTTATTAGCAGCATGTTGTCCTTCTTGGCTTGTCCATGTAGACAAGAATAGTACTCCCGGCTCGATAGCGAGGCGACGATCGGTCGTGGCTAAAGAAAGAACTGAATTGTCTCGTTTCACCGACACTTTGGAGCTTCAACCATTAATCAATGTCTTAATTTCAGCTCCTAATGCTCAGTGCATCGGCGAACAAGTTGTCGAAGCTGAAAGAGCAAGCAGAGGAATACGCCTCCCTGATCATGGAGGAACTGGACCCGGAAAACCTCGGCTACATCGAGGTAAAAGCCCTTGAAGCTGAAAAGCAAAACGAAAGATGACATAGTCTATTCAACTTAGGAAAACGCTTTGCTCCTCGAAAAGAAGTACGTTTCAGACGGGCTAGAATTTCACCTGTACTCTCTGTTTCAGTTGTGGCAACTGGAGACTCTGCTTCTGCAAAAGGACACTTACATGAATTACAGCAGACCGCTCAGCACGGCCAGTGTTGGCTGGAGCCAAAACCTGAGCTCGTTTAGACCAACCGACACAGTGCAGAGGATTAGCAGCTCCGTCCGATGCCTCGTGCTGGAGAACTGGCAAAGAGGTTGGATTCTGTTGCTTTGGGCGATAGTGATGGGATGCCTCTTCACCTGGAAGTTCATCCAATACAGGAACATGGCGGCATTTCGCGTCATGGGCTATTGCCTGGCGACGGCCAAGGGGGCAGCAGAAACTCTGAAGCTCAACATGGCTCTCATCCTCCTGCCCGTCTGCCGGAATACCCTGACGTGGCTCAGGTCCACTCGAGCCAGGCCGTTCGTTCCCTTCGACGACAACATAAACTTCCACAAGGTAAAAGATCTGGCGAAATGAGTAGAAACATCATGCATAGAGTTTTGAAATGATGGTTCCCGACATTGTATCAATTGCTCCTGGCTGAATGAAATTGGCATAGTCCGTAAACATAGCCGTTGCCAAGAATGGAAGGGGAAATTCACTATGGCAAGTAATAGAAGTAGAAGATGTTAGAAAGTAAGTCTAAAGATTTCCATGGTTGCAACTTCCAGGGAATGCGATTCCACTAACATGCATGAGCTACAGTGCATATGAACATGGCAAAGATAGAAAGGAAGTACAGTTGATCCAAGTGATTATTTTTAAGCACTACTGTATTTTAGACCAACAATATCTCGTGTATGCAAGATATAATGGAATGACTCTCCATCGCTTTTTTCCCCAATGCACAGATAATTGCATGTGCCATAGTCATGGGGATCATCCTCCACGCAGGAGACCATCTGGCATGCGATTTTCCCCGCCTGATAAACTCCTCCCCGGAAAAGTTTGCCCTCATATCCTCCGACTTCAATGACAGAAAGCCCACATACAGGGACCTTTTATCTGGAGTTGAAGGAGTGACGGGCATTGCTATGGTGATTTTGATGGCGATCTCATTCACTCTAGCGACACACCGGTTCAGGAGAAACTTAGTGAGGCTACCTGCACCTTTCAACAGATTGACAGGCTTCAATGCATTCTGGTATTCCCATCACCTGCTAGGCGTGGTCTACGTTTTGCTGCTCATCCACGGAACCTTTCTGTACTTTGTGCATGAGTGGTACAGGAAAACGGTAAGCAATCTGGCTCATCATATACGCGGTAGTTAAGTCAAGACATCAAACTTCATCATGTATTCTATAGCAGAGGTACTAATTCAATGCCTTACTCACCTCAGACATGGATGTACATCTCTATTCCATTGTTGCTCTACATGGTTGAGAGAAGCGTGCGAGCATGCAGATCAAACCATTACGCAGTTCAAATATTGAAGGTAATACCTCTTTTTATTTCTTTTACATTTCCACTTTTCATTGTTTGATCAAGAAAAAAGACATTTTTATCTTGATGCAATTGAGAATCAACAGAGAATAGACATGACCATAATATAATGCACAATTGAGAAAGTGTGTCAGTGTCTTCATGCACGATCTTCGCAAAATGCATTGAGAATATGCTTTTCCGAAAAAAAAAATAATTCTCATTCAGGAAGCTAATTTCTTTTGGACTATGCTTGTTCTCCACAGGTTTCAGTACTGCCAGGGAATGTCTTTAGCATAATCATGTCCAAGCCTCAAGGGTTCAAGTACAGAAGTGGGCAGTACATTTTTCTACAGTGTCCGACAATTTCCCCTTTTGAGTGGTAAAGTCCAAATTTAATCGTACCTCCTAGCTTTTCCAACATCAGCATTTCCGCTATCAAAGGCTAAGCGCTGTTACCTTCCAGGCACCCATTTTCAATTACTTCAGCACCCGGAGATGACTACCTTAGTGTTCACATCAGGATAGTCGGTGATTGGACACAGGAGTTGAAAAAAACTTTGACTGAAGGCAGAGACTCGTCATCTATTATTGGCCGGGCAAAATTCTCGTCGCTCGGGCGTATCAATCATACAGGGTAATTACATTTCTGGCAGGCATAAGTTCCAAAATAGAGACTATTCTAGGTAATGCTAACTGAACAAACTGTTATGTCATGATGCAGCCAACCCAAATTGCTCGTCGATGGCCCATACGGAGCTCCAGCTCAGGACTACAAAAATTATGATGTACTGCTCCTCGTGGGGCTTGGCATTGGTGCAACCCCTTTCGTAAGCATCCTTAGAGATCTTCTGAGTAATACAAGAGCAGAAGAGCAAATGGTACAGTATGTTGCTAATATATGAATAGCATGACTTAAAATTTAGGGAACACGTTTTAAAGTTTTGCTATTGTAATGCAATAGGAGTCAACCACGGAGACGAGTAGATCAGATGATAGCACAAATAGTTTCGCATCTTCAAACGTGACACCAGGTGGCAAAAGGAAGTCACAGAGGACGTCCAGTGCTCATTTCTACTGGGTGACAAGGGAATCCGGGTCGTTTGAGTGGTTCAAAGGAGTAATGGATGAAGTTGCGGAAATGGATCACAAAGTAATATTCTTCTGAACATTGCTCATGACTGTTTAGTGCATGTGTAGAAGGAACTAAAATGAGCGGGCTAAGTGACCCTATGTCTTCTCTCTTTTTGTATGAGCAGGGTCAAATCGAGCTTCACAATCACCTTACCAGTGTCTATGAAGAGGGTGATGCAAGGTCAACTCTAATCACCATGGTCCAGGCTCTCAATCATGCCAAACATGGTTTCGACATCCTATCAGGCACACGGGTATAATATGATGTCTACATAACAATGCTACATTCTGTTACACTACCATATTAACAATGAACAGGCTACTGAGACAATTGATCTAGAGACATTATAGATAGAATATTTTTTTCTTTTTTTAGCTCGTTCATTAAAGTGAACTGCTTCAACAATGAGGCTGCTAACTCAGTCCTGATATTTGATTCTTGCAGGTAAGAACACACTTTGGAAGACCAAATTGGAGAGAAGTATTTATCAAAGTAGCTTCAAAGCATCCTTACACTACAGTAGGTAAGTGTGATACAAGAAAACACTAGTAAATGCCAAAAATTTCATAACAATCAAACTAATTAGTTCAGAGCCTAGATACTAAAAAAATGATGAAAACTAGCTTCAGCTGGTGCTGGTAATTTATCCCCAAATCATACAGGTAGAGCTTAGCATAGTAGCCTTCTGGTATTAGCAACAACTAGATAAGACTTGCATATTGACATTGCTCATGTGTAACTTCTGTAGATGACAGACTTGTTTTCAGACTCGTAGGACACCCTTATCAGCACTCTGTGGCCAAGGCTACATCAGAACATAATGCAAAGGATTAAAATATAAGATCTTAAATTTTGCGTGAATTATTTAGTAAAACCCTTTGTCTAGGAAAAATGAAGTCTATCTCCTTAATATGATGAAACTCTACAATGTTTGCCGAATCTACAGCTGTCACAAGATATTCACGTTTCAATGATGCCTGACCAAAAGGGGGTTTTCTATTGCAGGGGTGTTCTACTGCGGGATGCCGGTGTTAGCAAAGGAACTAAATAACCTATCCCGTGAGCTGAGTCACAAGACATCTACACGTTTCGAATTCCACAAGGAGCTTTTCTGAGTCGAATAACAGACCTAGAAGCATCAAGGTGCAACCTTTTTTTTGTTTTTTGTAATTATGATACAGGCTGAAAAACATGAAAGTGCATATCATAGTAGCTCAGAGCAGATAGGATGTATATTCCCCCATATACCATCGATAGGAATACCCACCAACACAAGTAATTCTTTATGAAACAAGGACAATATTTTATAGTCTTCTAGCTGCATTTGATAGTAGTTCCTAACTACCCCGACAAGGACTCTGTCTCTATTGATGAGCATTATTTTTCAAACTCTATGTTGATTGCTGGCGTGCAAGTATCCAATTACAACACTTGGACAAAGAGGAGTTGCAACAACTTCATCTGTTTATAAGCAGGCCTGATGAATTGGATGAAAGTAACATGAAAGAGGAATCCATAGTTGACAATGGCTTAAACAAAAATGTACCCACGTATATATCTGTTGGCCTTGCTTATTTGCCGAAAGTCAGCAGTACATCACGAGAAACAGGAATATAGCCAGAAGATTATATAGTTTCCTACCGTCTAATTGAAACAACCGATTCTGATTACCCTTAAGTCTCCGAGATCTCTGGATTAAATTGATCTCGATATCATGATATATCTACCAAAAGTTTTGCAAAGGGAAGGCATTTCCGGAGAGGAAAGCTAAATGCCGGAGCCCTGAGAGTTTTACTGACAAATATCGTTCGGAGGACACGGCAACACAATAGTCGACAAGATTCGAGCACGGCCGGCAAAAGCAAAAACTAACAACAGCACGGCTCGTTCATGAAACTTACGAAACATCAAATTAGAAAAACAACCTTGAATATAACTCTTATCCTTAAGGGGGCTTTGGATCCTCGATCTCAATTTTTTTTCCTTGAATGCCAACAATATCATCCTCCTCAAGCTCAATACGAGATGCTTTGATCCGTTCATTCTAACTCAGTCCCTGCATACTTAGGGTACAACACGACACCAAAATCGGCAATTAGAAAGAAAGTTCGTAAAGTAATGCCAGATCATATCGACGTAGATTAGCCAGCCACACACATCCCCATACCGATGTCAATTTTGTTCGATGCCGAGCGTGTATCTGGTCACAACTTGAATACCTTTAGGCTGCGTTTGGTCGTCCGGATTTCTAAACAGGATAGGACTGGATAGGATAGGATAAGAAATCCTGGGATTTCTTCATATCCTATCCACTGTTTGGTGGACTACGGATTCAAAGTCGGATAAGATAAATTTTTTTTTTTTTGCTATTCACGGGTCCGGAGGAGTCGGTGAAGGAAAAAAAGCCGAGAAATTTGTTTAATGAAAGCGCACAAGGTGTGGGGATGAAGATGACGGCGAGTGGAGCGTAGGGTTTCTGGAAAAATAGACATTAGAAATCCTATCCAGGTCTATCCCACCCCTCCCCTCGGATTTTTTTATCCGGGCTATATCCGGTCTATATCCGACCTTATCCTATCCTGAACCACCACCAAACACAGGATATGATAAAACATATCCTATTCTGGCTTTTATCCGGTCGACCAAACGCAGCCTTAGATGATTAAAACCGTGATACATATCTTAGAGCCCATTTGGAAAAACATAGGTTTTACATTATAAACGCACGAGACTTGACCATACTTTTTTTGTTTGTTTGGCTTTTTCTCTCATTTCGATCGCTTTGAAGATGTAACTCTAGGTTTGTTATTATCCCCATAATCTCAGAATCATGAGAAGGAGAATGTCATCATTGTAAAGGTTAGCTTTGCAGTTCTTGACTCATTAGCGCAAGTCCGATGTCTTATCCGTAAGCTTCAATGAACGACTTTTGCCTCCGACTATCCCGAAAAGAAAAAAGAAAGAAAGAAAAACGCGGCCGTAGAACAAGAGTCCATGATACTCAGATTTGAGCTCGATCAACTTTTGAATCCTCAAGTTCAGACCCAATCCAAGTAAGTTCTAAATGAACTCAAGTCCAACTCGACTCGATCGGCAAATAAATTTATGTCCAAACTCGAACTTAAACGGGCACACTTAAATCACACTATTACTTCGATAACTTTGCTGTCCCTCTCGTCACCTTGCTCCATCGTCATTATCTTGGATACACGTGAATGTAGAAGGACACTCGCAATGACTTGTTGATGGGTAGTAAGTAGTTCATGTTACTTTATTCATGGTTTGACGTCGACTGAGAGTGACTGAAAGTGAAGAGGTTAACCTTCCCGCGACTCTCGCATTGACTTTCCCAGATCGTGAAATCTGGTGGTGGAAGATAATCCTAAGAGCTTGGCTGGCGGCCTACTGGGCCGCTCATGCCCGACCACAAGCTACTGTACCAAGTTATTCCCATCTTATGATCCAGTCTGCTCAGGCCCGCTTCCTGGAGACGAAGTCCGGATGCTGTTTGAGTTCTTCGTGAAGGGCCAGCAATCGTCCACGCCATGAAAAGCATCGGAAAAGCCAATGAACGACCGCAAAAACCTTATCTTTCTTCCCACCACCTGAGCAAAACCCAAAAAAAAAAAGAGAAACTTTTGCTGGTCGCAAGCAGCAGCAGAGACGCACAAGAGCAAAAGAATCATCTTTTTTGCTTTTTTCCCATATTTTTCTGGGCTAACTTTTTTCCAACCCGCATTCCTCTGATTCTTGATCTCAATGATGGCCACGCTTTCACTCCCGAAGCACTCGCTCCCATTTCTGATCCCACCTCAGACACCCAGAACCCAATCTCCCCGCAATCCCACGTTCTTGCCCAAATCTTCAGAGTCTCAGTTCCATGGCCTTAGGCTTTCTACTCCCTCCTCTGCCTCCATCCCTTCTTCGTTCTCTGCCAAGAGCGCCATTCTTGCCAAGGTACATTGTCCCGCATTCAGAGATTTGGAGCATTTGCTGCTCAAGCCAAGAGCACTAATCTCTTCTCGCTTCTGTTTCTGGAAACTTGTTGCAGGTGAACAAAGACCAAGTCCCACCATCCTTCACGCTGAAGGATCAAGATGGCAAGAACGTGAGCCTCTCTAAGTTCAAGGGCAAGCCTGTCGTCGTCTACTTCTACCCTGCTGATGAGACACCAGGCTGCACCAAGCAGGTAACATGAACAACCTACTCTTCCAGTGTCTTGTTTTTTTGGGGAGATTCAAGTGTTGGTCCTCTGTTAGACAATGATAATTTGTGACAACAGCATAACTTCTTTTGCCCATTTATGTGTAATTTCTTTTGCCCCATGGGGTTTTGCAGAGTGTCACTGTTAACAATCACTTGCCTTTTCTCTCTCTTTTGCCGAATATCGTGGTGAAAATGAGTATGCTCTAAGCTAGACTGCGCTAATAGCTTTACTTTCCCTGAAAGAATCGAGTACAATGTGTTGAAGTTGATTAGTGTAGCTAATAGCTGTTGACAGATAGAGGTGAATTGAGCAATTTCTCCATTCAACTAGAGCTTCGGTCTATACTAGACCTTACTGAATCGACCGCAGGGAATTTTCCTTGTGATGGCGGTTTGCGAATAATCGGATTTACTAAGAATGCCGTAATCTGTCAGGCCTGCGCTTTCCGGGATTCTTACGAGAAGTTCAAGAAAGCAGGGGCCGAGGTGATTGGAATCAGTGGGGATGACTCAAATTCGCATAAGGTATTGGAAAAAGTTCCTCTGTTTCCTGTAACTGATCATGTGTTGCATCATTTGAGTTTTACGAAAACTAATGCCGAAAGCTGTACGAACAAGTGATAGGTTTGTCAGGAATGTGCAAGTCTTTCAGGGTAAATGTTCAATGGAACTGCAAGACTCGGATTTTGCACCACCAGAATACTAAATTTTCTTTTCCGGTTTATGATGTCTTGAGAAAACTTCAAGTGTTATTGAGTCTTCAGCTCTCATTGATATTTCCTTCGATGAGTGGTTTCCTCTTCCGATTTGCGGTCGCCGCTGACATTGAGTTTCACTGTTATCATCAGGCATTTGCCAAGAAGTATAGACTTCCATTCACATTGCTCAGTGATGTCGGGGATACGGTCAGGAAAGATTGGGGAGTCCCCTCAGATTTATTCGGGACCTTGCCCGGAAGACAGACTTACGTGCTCGACAAGAACGGCGTGGTTCAGCTCATCTACAACAACCAGTTCCAACCTGAGAAGCACATTGACGAGACCTTGAAGTTCCTTCAAAGCGCCTAATGAGCCATCGTAAATATGTCGATAGTTTGTCCTTCCCGATCTCTTGTTGCTTTTCATTACCATGGCTCCATATGTAAACTGTATTTGGCTCTTCAATGAGATAATCTACGATTGTTAAATTAGTCTCGTACAGTTCGAGGACTCAGATCGATTTTATTCAGATTTGCAGTAAGTACATGCAATCCAGACAAGCTTAATACAACATTTACTATGATGTTTCTCTTTATTCCGTACTAAAACATATGAAAAACAAATGGAAACGATCCTTCAAAGACACGAAACGAATTTCACGATCACGAGCTCGCTGTCACATCAGTCTTCCTTTTCGTAGTCCTGGCTAGTGTAGGGGCTAAATGCCTCGGCCAACCAGTTTTTCTTCCTCAACACGTTCCACCCCATGTCTCTGCATATTTCGTCATCGTGGTTGATACTGAAGACCGAGATGCAGTGCCTCTTGTAAAACCGGGTCGTCTTCTTCATCACCTCGATCTCTTTAGTTGTCTGTTCAAGCATGTCCTCGACACCGGGGAGCTTGAACTTCTCATCTAGCAGGTGAGACAGCCATTTGCTCTGAAGCTCTGCTGAATGAAGGTTTGAGACGCTCTCCACATATCCCAGGAATGCCATGTTTGGAATCAAGGGATGGATCGTCGCCCTGATAAATAGTCAAGAAATTTTAAGCCACTAGTAGTCGAGAATGTGCACAACTAGACGGTGTCGGAAATTGTATTGTATTACCTGTATAAGGGCATGATACCAGAAGGGAACTCCATCAGACTCCGAAATGGTTCGGGCATTATGGACTTGAGCTTCCTCTTCCCATCGTAACCTGTCGCGAAGACAACCACGTCAGCCTCCAATCTATTGCCGTCATCGAACTCGATCCCTCCTTCCCAGAACCACCATTTGTTGGGCCTCTTGAACACGATCCTCCCCTCGTCAGCCTCAGAGAAGAAATTCTCCGGCATGATGGCCATTTGGCAAGACGCGTAGTCTTCCTCAAATGGGTGATCCGGCTTCAGCCCGTACTTTTTCAGCGGGAGCTTCCACACCAAGTAGGACTCGATGAACTTCGATATCGCCCGCCTCTGAGAAAACCAGCATCAAGCATCACGTTCAACCAGCTACAAAGTTTCAATATCAACACAAAAAATGAATTGGTCAATCCCGATAAGTAATCTTGACTGACCAGTGGAGACAGAAGGAAGCAGAGACACGCCCCGAGGAAGGTCTGGTTGGGCTTTCTATGGAGGAACTGAGAAGATCTGGTGGAGTAGAACAGGAAGAAAGGCAAGCCCCAGATCCAGTAATGTGGAACAGTCCAGTGAATGGTTCTCACAATCATCGTGCATGGTTGGCCTTCTGGTCCTTTTAACAATGTTCCAAAAGAAAATAAATAAATTGCTCGTTAGTGTCCTAACATACCAATGTTACCTAAATTAAACTAGCTGAAATGACTAGATAAGCATATATTCAAGTTCACTTCATTAAGACCTTTGAGAGACAAAGTCAACATAATTGGTTTTAGTTTAGGCGTAATAAATTTCACTATTAAGACATGCATGGGATGTAGGAAAATACAAGGAATGGGGACTCTTCGGTTAAAGTACCCAATCAGCCTTAAACTTATGGTATGAATATCGAAAGGACTACGATGAAGTTTCGCACAGAGATTTAGGACTAGATTGGCAAAATCAAAAAAGTATGGAATTGAATCGACGTCCGCTCCATAGATTTGGGACTGATCTGGACAATTTCTTTGGAATCCATCAAAACTTGAATGATTGGTTAATGGATGGTTTATTACAAGAGTGCTTGGTTATTTAGGAAACGCATCATTTTCTTGCCGTCACCGTTACTTTAGTCGATTCGGTTGACTTGCTTGTTCCTCTCGCGCAATGTTCGTGCCGTGCGTGTTTCAATCAGATGAAAAAGTCAATTCCGTTGACTTGCCTTGATCAGTGTCCGATAAAAGTCAAGCATGTGAATGATTTCAACTCAACATAAATAATTAGCATATTTCAAGAATTTTCTTCACACATGTCCTTGGAATCGTTATGTTTTCCCATTTTCTTGTGTGTATATACAAAGTCAAAGCTGATTTTTCCATTTTTTCTCTTTTGGGTGAACAAGACAAAGCAGGATTCGTGTCGTGAATAGTTGAGAATGTGGGCAAGTCAAGAAGTCAAAATATAATAAGACCTGACCTTTGAAAAATTGAATTGACCCCCTTTCTTCTTTTTCAAAGGTTATTGTAAGACAACCAGAAGTTGATCTACAATATGTAATTTTATAAACTGACATAAGAAAGTTTTATTTAGTATGTGAAAATATGGGTTCTTGTCAATATCAATTAACAATTAGACACGTTTCTTCATAAATTTATTTTGTAAATCAATGTTTGTGGTGTAAATAGAAAAGGTGAATATTTCTCCTCAAAGGATTACTCCAAAAATATTATGAAGGCAAATTCATCGCCAGTTGGCAATCACAAAAATTTAACAGAAAATATAGGAGTGATCTGTCTTCTTTAGTTGCCTTCTCAGAGGAAAGTTATAAGCGAATGAAAATCACTTATCTCTTGATTATAAGTTGCACAAAGTGAATGCAGACGATGCAAGGGAGATCAAAATCACAACAGCGCGATAATATCAAGAAGCACAAGTTTTTTTTTTAAATTCGTCGATGATAATTTTTCCTAGAATTCCAAATGAAAACTTAGACGTTTGCAGGTTTTACTAGTCTATATGCACTGTATAATGTATCTGATACTCGATGTTTGCAACACGGATAGCTACTTTGAAAATATTTGCAGGGGTTGTAAATTCCATACCTTGATTTGCCTCTGCACACTCCATGGCTAAATCGATGCCTGATTTCTTGTATCCGACGACAACGACTTTCTTGCCCTTGAGCAATTCGGTCGCGGCTTCGCGGTCGAGCTTGGAGTAGTTGATGGTGTGCAATACTTGGCCCTGAAATATCTCAGGGCCATTGTTGTGTGGGAAACTAGGGATCTTCGGTATATCCCCATATTTGCCGATGCAAATCACCAGAAATTCGAATGAGTGCCACTGATGCAAATTGAAACAGTATGAGGAATTTATTCTTATAGGAAAGATATTTCAAACATGATACTTGAGAGAAATGTAAAATGAATCATGCGTGCACAGATTTGAGTCATCAGATCTGATGGACTAGATGAAAAAGGAAGAATTTCACCATATTACTTAGAATCGGTTTTGGAGAACCTTCAGTTGATCAGCTTTTAACTTTATGCTTGTGTAAAAAGACTATAGAAAAATAAAAGTTTGCTTGAGGCCTAAACTAGGAAGTTTGAATAGAAAACCTGAACACTCTCCGATTCTTGAGTCTGGACGGCGACCTCCCAAGCCGGCTGCTCGGGCAACAAACTACCATAATCTGCCAAATTATCCGTCGGCTTCTGATCGCCGATGAAGCGAACCTCCACCACTTTTGAGTTGAACCTCACAAGCTTCATCAAATCAAAGCGCATGGCATATGCGTGCAGGTAATCGAGGATCTGGGCATGAGAAGGGAAGCTTGAGTTGTCACGGTCGGGCCAGGGGAAATCGGAGAACTCGTAGTCACAGCGAAGGGACTGAAGCTTGGTGGAATTGTAAGAGCAGTGTTTCCAGACACCCCCAATTGAGTCACTAGCCTCAAAGACCATTGGGTTGTAGTGGGAGAGTTGTTTGGCCGCGGCTAAACCGCTGACCCCAGCACCAAGGATGGCGATTCTTGGGTTCATGACAGTAGGGTTTTGCACAGTTTCCATGTCGGAAAGAATGCTTGGAATTGGCTTTGAATTCCGACAAGAAAGAGAGGTGGGGAATACTATAAGGGCGGTTTTGCTATTGCCCTGTGAAAGCTATTAGCAAGGTGATGGTGAATACATATGCATGCAAATGCAGGCTTTTATAGACTTTTGCATGAGATGGTGACTTTTCTTTTCTTTCTCTTTTTATTAATATTATCTGTTTTTTCTGGTTTTTGTGGTGAGCTTGCATGAAACAGCGTTAAAAGCACGTGGAGTGGACGAGAGAGAGAGAGAGAGAGAGAGAGAGAGAGAGAGAGAGAGAGAGAGATCATGCAATGGTAGAGAAGAAGAATAGCTACAGTGTCTTTCTATATTTAATAATATTCAAACTATAACTTAGGGTAATGAAAAAAAAGAGTATATTTTAGGGTATGAACAGAAGTTGTATGAAGTTGGCTCGTCATGAAGAGGAACTTTCGGTCATTCGCGAGCTTTCCTCTAAATTGTAGTGGCGGTTGAAGAAGTTCTATGTTCCTTCAAAACCAATTAAAAAACGATGATACATACATTAATATTCTCGCACCCATCTTCCTAGTCATCACTGACGATGTAAATCACCGATCGTTAGCCCAAGGAAAAAACAACTTTTAATCTTTAGTGGGTAAGTTCCAAGTTAAATATCTATGAGTTTCTGCTAAACATAGAACAATCTTTCTGTGAGATGACTTGGAATTGGACCAAAGAACTAATCAGCAAGAGTTGAAGATTTCAGAGCTACCAGAAAACTTTAAAAGCAAAAGAAGCAAGAAAAACTGACCGCTGTGATGGCGTCTTTTCTTGCTCTTTGTACAAAAATTCTGTGTTCGACGGTCTGATATTGATCAAGACTCTCGAGGGTCGAAGTTCAGTTCAAGGTACCTCATTTTGAGAACTAATTTTCAGACAGTTCTTTTCAATGTCCCTTTTGTGAATACAAAGTTGGAGCAGAATGTGTGTACTGAGCACACGCGGAGCGTCAATTCTTCATGCACATGGACGAGTGCGTCTGAACGGGAGACAAAACATCATTAAGAGTTCAAAGCATGGGAATTTGAAGTACTTTCTCTTGAACAATGTGTCCCATTTTCTGGAAGGTCCATTTTAGCACAAATATCATGGTCGTTGAAGAGGGTTTCTGTCATTATATACTAAATCAATCGATCTGATGTCGAACTCCCCACATTTTCAAAGTGAGATCCATGCTTCGTGTCTTGTAATATTCAAGATCGCAATAATCTATCATATATATTTTCAAGATTCCAACATCCATGACGAACTAGTGATGCACTAACTTTAACTAGACCCCAAGTTTAACTCTTCGATTTCGGCATCACCACTCGTGCCATATGATCGCAACGGGGTTGTGAGATATGGTAGACAGCTCTAAGAGACTAAAGATCAATTGACATCAACTTAAGGAGTATCCCTATAGGGACAAAGCATGGGATGAGTGATGACCCTAGTGGGTCTCATCTCAACTACGTTAATATAAAAACCTCTGAACCAGGCTAAGTCTATCTGGCCTATGAAACTCCATCCCAAATTTCCACTTTCTGGTTTGACCAATCACTCAATTATCAAAGACTGCCTTGTCAAGTGCAAACCCTAATGAAACATTATATTAGAAAGGCACATTGCTAGACTTAGAAAGCTAAAAAAACAAGAATATCACGAAAGCGTCTTGACCATGGAAACCCATTTCTAGCTGGAGCTAATGGATATCGCGAAATCCCAGTTCTGTGAAAGCAAATCGAATATGCGTGGAATATTAAAAATGGGGAGGGTGGACACGGTCCTGCAAATGGAACGATCTGCAGAGGTTTAGATGTTTCTTTTAATCGGAAAGGTCCGAGAAAATGAGACGCAGCTCAGAAGAAGTTGTGTTAGCTTCCACTTTCAAGTCAACTTAGATAACTCTTGGCCCCAGAACAAAGATATTGAACGATTTGAGCTGCATGCATGTCCTAACGTAAAATTTCTCTTTGAAGTCAAAGTTTCTTGTTCTTGATTCAAAGGTTTCGATTCCCATTCATGGAAATTGAGAATAGGCGTTGGATTTTCGAGGAACTGATTAATCTAATTAAAAATGGCTTCTTTTACCTAGTCTTGCACTTCAACTACTTCTATCAGCCAAATTTTTATTTAGGGTCTTTATGAACCATTTACCACGCCAGAGTGCATTAAACTTTATTCAATTGAAAACGTATGGGATTCAACGTTAATTGAAAGATTGATGATCAGAAGAGGCATGAGTTGACAATTTAATGGTCGAAACTTCAAACTTCAAAGCTTGGACTCGACGCCGAAGTTAGCATAATTTCCCTTAATCAAGCAGGTCCATCAGAGGGTAGATTCACCTGTTTCGAAACGTGCGGCACCGTCGAATGCCGTGGGTGGAGGGGAATGAAAGATTCTGGAAACTAAAAAGAGATCGATTATTATGGTAAATAGATTTTAGAAAGTTTAACCCTCAACTGTTTGGTAGAGAAAAACCACATGAGTATAAAGAGCTTATAAAACCCGTTGTCCAGTAACATGGGATGATATTTCAACACCCTCTCTCACGTGCAAGCCGAATTAAGAGCGATAAGTGGAATTCGACCATGGTACGTGAAACTTGACTAATGAGGGGTGGATGCACATGCGCAAAATGATTAGTAATGTCTTTGATACCAAGTGGAGATTTGTAGTAGAAGAGAGAAAAGTGTAGTATTATGTACATTTCCAGAAGAAGAGTACAAGAGCCCTATATATAGGGAGAGAAGGCAATTAGACTTAATTACTACTAAAGTAAATCACAATTAACCTAATCCTAAATCGTAATCTTAAATATATATCTCTAACACCCCCTCCAAACTCAAGGTGACTTAAAGAAAGTCAACTAGAGTTTGGAAAAAAAGATTCAGAAAATGCCCAGGTACATGTGTCGTAATGAAGATATCAATGGTCTGATTATAGAATGCAGTAGATAAAAGTCAAATAATGCCACGATGGATGTGGAATTAGATGAAATGATACTCTATTTCAATGTATTTGGTGCATTCATGAAAGACATTATTATGTGCTATTTGGATGCCACTTTGGTTGTCACAATAAATGATTGTAAAACTATTATGACGCAATCACATGTCTTCCAATTAGAGGTGGCCACGGTTCGGAACCGACCGGTTCCGGTTCGGAACCGGCGGTTCCGATTCGTGGCCAAGTGTGAACAGGTTCCGGGCCGGTTCCGATTTTTTTTCTTTTCCTTTTCCTTTTCTTTTTTTTTTCTTCCTCTACGGCCGGCCATAGCCGGGGCCGGCGCGGAGGTCGCCGGCCTCAGGCGAGGCGGCCCTCGCCGGCGTCGGGCGAGGCCGGCCTCGCTGGGGCCGGGCGAGGCCGGCCTCGCCCGATGCCGGCGAGGTCGAGCCTCGCCGCCGGTTGCGAGCGGGCGGCCGGCCTCGGCCGACGCCGGCGAGGTCGAGCCTCGCCGATTCTGAGCGAGGCCGAGCCTCGCCGGCGTTAGGCGAGGCCGGCCTCGCCCGGCCCCAGCGAGGGCCGGCCTCGCCGACGCCGGCGAGGTCGAGCCTCGCCCGGTTGCAGGCGAGGCCGGCCTCGCCCGGCCTAGCGAGGGCCGGCCTCGCCGACGCCGCCGCGAGGTCGAGCCTCGCCCGGTTGCGAGCGAGGCCGAGCCTCGCCGGCGCCGGGCGAGGCCGGCCTCGCCCGGCCCGAGCGAGGCCGGCCTCGCCGACGCCGGCGAGGTCGAGCTCTCGCCCGGTCGGCGAGGCCGAGCCTCGCCGGCATCGGGCGAGGTCGGCCTCGCCCAGCCCCAGAATGCGGTCTGCTGGACAATTGCAGCCTTTTTTTTTTTTTTTTTTTTAATTTTTTTATTTATTTTTTTCGCAGAACCGTGTTCCGGGCCGGTTCAAATTTTTTCGGAACCGGAACCGGGCCCGTATGCCACGGGCCTGTTCCGGTTCCGAACCGCGGGCCCGGTCAACGGGCCGGGCCCGGGTTTGACCGAGCCGGTTCCGGGCCAAAACCGGCCCGTGGCCACCTCTACTTCCAATAGCCATCGCAACCATAGTAACTCCGATGTCATATCGGCAAGAGCTCGATATTCTGCTTTTGTACTAGAGCAAGTGACAATGGTTCTTTCTACTACGCATGAGATAAGTGAGTTGCCTGAAAAAAAAGAAAAAAAAAGAAGCAGTCTGCAGTGGAACGATAATCTTGAGGGTCACCATCCCAGTTAACATTAGAATAAGCTGTCAACTCTAAGGTAAAATGAAATAATGTACCCTTGACATAGCGAAGAATTCAAAGGACTGCAACAAAATTAGGAGCGTGGTCATGTGTTGGCTGACAATATGAACAACATGGCAATGCCAAGTCGAGTAACAATGAAATATACAAGACTACTAACCAATTGTCGATAGATGAGTCTCATCTCTTGCATCAAATTTGGCATTGGTCTTAATAGGAATTGTAGCAGCCTTATTGTTAGTGAGTCTTGCTCAAGAGCCAAGTCACCCAAGATCTTTTATTTCAAACTGTTGATTAAGATATTACTAGATTTTTGAAATGCCAGTATGATAATAAGCACGTCGTCCACATATAGGAGTAGCATAATGGACCCACAAGATGTGTACCGAATAAAAATAGCATGGCCATGGGGATTGGATTTAAAACCAAATGGTTCTATTGTCGAGTTAAACTTGGAATACCATGCATGAGGAGTCTGTTTCAATCCATATAATGCTCGACGAAATCAACACACTTTGTTAGAAGGATGAGTGTATCTAGGAGGAGGCACCATATAGACTTTCTTGGGGGAAGAACATTAGAAGCGTCAAAACTTGTGTACGGCGCTCACTTTAGTACCAAAATTTTCCGCCGGATCACTTCAGTCCAACTTTTTGAAAAACGATCACTTAAGTGCCAACTCCGGTAAGTTTGGCCGGAAATTCGACGTGGCATTTTTTTATTAATTTATGAAG